TTTTCTGCTGTTGTAGCCCATCCAACTCAAGGTTTGATGTGTTCTGGGATGCTTTTCTGCATACTATAGTTTTACAGAGTGGTTATCTGAGTTACTGTAGCCTTTCTGTCAGCTTGACTTAGTCTGGCCATTCTCTGTCGACCTTGCTCATCAGCAAGGTGTTTCAGTCCAAAAGAACTGCTGCTCATTGGATGTTTTTCCATTTTTCCCTAATTCTGATGGTTGATGTGAACAGTACCTAAGGTGCTAGCCTGTATCTGCATGATTTAAGGCATTCCAAAGGCAATGCCATATGATTGGCTGATTAGATAACTTCATGGATGCGTAGGTGTTTATATAGGTGCTACTCTTATCGTTTTCGGCATTTGTTTGGTCAAAACACTAAAGCTCAAAAATGAAAGGTGTGAGCAACGGAAAAGCAGTCCAGGAACAGAAACAAGATAATAGAATGGAATTATTCCATAAAAATGAGAAATACTAACTAACTGTGAATGGTTGAAGGGGAGCTGCATAAAAATAGATCACTTTCACAAATATATAAAAGTAGTAGTAAAAGTATACTCTGAGCAGCACAAACCCTTCAAAATTACAAAATTCAAAATTCTGAGTACATGCAACTGACGCACTGACAGTGTAACTAGAGTTTTACCGAGTCAACTCAAAACCTTTTGTACTCTCCACCAACATGTCAGTTTCATCTACTTTTATTCTCCCTCTGCTTGTCTGATGGTGCTCAGAGACCATAAAGTAAAACTGATGACTCATTAAGTCAAGGCAAGGTCTGAGAACATTCTCTCAATAAATTAAACACTGTGCTGTGGGAGACACTAATAGCAGAGATCTCTGCTACATTTTTAAAAGATGTCATCCTCAGGAGGCCCAAATTAGCACCCCCCACCCCCAACTCCCTGTTCTGCCTGATATAGCTGGACAGCTTTCTGCTGACTCAGGCATACCAGCCTTGCCTCTGCCAAAAAGAGAATCTTAAAGGGACACAGTCCCCGATCACTTAGGCTCCTGTAGACGCTGCCTTTTTCAGATGATCTCATTTCTTTTTTACAACACAACTGGTAAGCTAGTGCCTTTTAAGCCTTGAATTTCTGGAATTAATTTAGTCTACATATAGATCACTTGGACAACTCAGAAGCATACCTCACTGTATACTACAGCCCAATAATTATGAAAATTTGGTAACCAATAACAATACAGATTTTAAGCAGGAAAAAATTGCAGTAACATCGGCTGAAATAATTTAATAAAGTTGCAGGCTTTATAGTGCGTGTTATAATTTTCATTTGTCAGCTGTGAATTGCCAAATATAATTAGCAGTTCTCAAATGTCACATTTTTTAAACTCAAACAGCAGAAAGCCTTTATTAACATAAATATAGCACTGTGAGGAATGAAGCTTTGCATAATTCTTAACTGTTTTGTCAGTTGCTGTTTAATAGCTCTTACTTTTTAATCTTTTTTTGTGTCACCTGTTATTCTCATGATGGATGCATTTTACATGTTTCTGCTAAAGTATTCTCAGAAATGAGTGTCTTTCCTCACATCAGAGATATTTATTCATAAAATTTTAAAACAAACCACTTAATGTCTAAACTTAATTGTGGGGTTTTCAGTGACATCGAAAAACCAGCAGGATGTTATCAGCCAACCAACATACTGGTCTGACCCTGTATACCCCCATTTCACCTGTAGTCTCAGAAAACCTCACAAGAGACAATTTTCATGTGAATAGTTTCATATTGCCACTTGGCACCAATACCTCTGTAGTTAAGTGTCCAACAAAGAAACTAGATCATTAATATTTTCACATAATTTACTTAATAGTTTTTGCACAATATAAAAATCAGCATTTATTCTATACTAAAATGAGACAAAATAAAAAATCTATAGGGCAATGCTAATGTCTGTCAGTGCCCCACTGGGGTTACTAATAGTATTTACTAAGCACTAAGCTAACACTAATGCACAAATTCTTTTTTGGCTGTTCTAGATTAAACACATACATTTGAAGCTTGTAAAAGACTTGGAATGTATTTTATTTAGACTGTTACAGACATTAACAAATGTTTCCCTTGTAAGCTGCAGTTTCACAGTGGGTTTCAGTAAGGCATAGAGCTGCCACCTCTGTTTTCCATTTCTAAATGACTTCCCCTCCCCCTTACAAAATTAATCCCACATTGTAAAACCAATTATGATTGGTTGATTTCACTGTCCCTTCCTAGTAATATCAGCAGTTAATGTAATGGGTAAGGCACACTTGCTGCTACTAGATCTGCATACCCTGCCTGATTTTTGTCAGGCATTCATGAAATAAATTACATTTACTGCCCATAACATGGTTATCTGGTGAAACACATCTCTCTGAGCTAATATGATGCAATGTCATGAAACAGACAGTTATGCAGGGTACAGGGCTGTGCCAAAAATTGTAATGTGTAGGCATATATGCAGCTCTTGAAGGCCTAACAAAGGGAAAGCTAGCATGACTGCATCTACCTAACTACCAAAAAGATTAAAAGTGATTGAACAAATTTCAGTATCAAGATTTAAACAATGAAACAAAAAAATAATAGTATCACTACAATACTTGCAGAAGTTAAATACAACAAGCATGATGATTCTATTGAATAAAAATGAACATAATTGTAGACATGCACAGATAAATGCAAGAGAAATCATTAGGCCTTCTCTGAAGGCCAAGAAGGCCCTGAGGCTCCCCCATGTATACATCTTTGTATACTGTTTCTTCTTCACAAGTAGACCTAGCTTGAAACAATGACACTTTTTTTTTGGATGGCTTCAGAAAGGAAAAATGTCTGGTGTTATATTCCACTACAACTGGTTGTGGCATTAAAGTGATTTGCAGTTCTTTTCATAATTGAAAAACAAAACAGACAAAGCAGTCAAGAGAGAAGCGCTGAACTAAGAACAAGTGACTGCCAGTGTAACAGAGGAAGGTCTGCTTGCAGGAGGTCTAGCAAGACACCAAGACACAAAAGCAACATATTTTGAAATTCTTTATTTTCAGTAAATACCTTTTCCTGCAGTCAGATAAATATTTTACGTACATCATTTCAATTCTGTAATTTCATTGTAGTACTCTTGTAACAATCCCACTCTGACCAAAAAATGAAAGACACAAAACGTGCTCATTTTTTCTTATTCAGTAAAATGTGTTAATGCATCTGGATTAACACTCGCTTGGCTTACTTGTTGATTTCTTCTTTGTCCTTTAAAATATTTTTCCTGGTAGTGTTCACCCCTAGAACTGTTATTTTGAGTGCTATTCTAGGACAAGCTGTGATATTACAAGTGAATGCTGAATTGGTTTCAGTTTAGTATGAAAGAATGACTGCCACCAACCAATCTTCCAAGACATGGTAGTGTTGTACAATATGGACTGCCCATTGGACAGACTGTTACTCTTAGACTCACATTAGACCTAAAGGCAAAGGACTCTAGACCTCCAATCTGAGAAGAGTCATGGAGCATGCTTAAGGAATGCAGTACAAAACTGTGCTGATTTAATGCATATATATAATATACATACCCATTTACATGTGCATATGCAATATACCTTCATCGTGTGATTTTTTTCCATATACTGAAAGAATCTAGGAAGTAGAAAACACAGAACTGTTGAGCTTCATCAAAAAAAACAAAAAACAAAAAAAACAGGTGCTACCAAGCTTAAAAGACAAGTTAGAAATACACAGGCTCTTGCAAACATATTTTAGTTGACTAAGAATGTTTTATTTTGCAGTTTTCCCTCTGTTGCTATAATTTGGAAAATGAAAGCTAAGGCACTAAAAGCTAAGCAAACAATAAAAAGCAGAGAAAGATGACAGAGAAACTTAAGCAATGCAGCATTGAGCTACATCACAACTATCCAGGCCTGTAAGTAGACAGAGACAGTAAAACAAAAGATAACATATACCTAGGTCTCAATATGAGGAAGAGGCACTATCACTACCAGTCTCTAGTGAGCATAAAAGTATGGCAAACTAAGTCTGGTTTAAAACTAAAATGAACCATCAACATGTTCAGTTGCACTTTGACCTAAACAATTTTTTTTTTAAGTTGAGAGATTACAGACAGCCACATGCATTCTGTTTTAGCATTTTCAGTGTATAAGTTACATGTGGATGTTCTGCTAGTGGTATGAATTCATTATAAAAACTTCTAAACATTCAAATAAAGTGGCTGTAGAGGGCACAGTACCAGAGAGTGAGCCACCTTTCTGCATCATAGTTTTGTAGCATGTCTGTATATTTTTTTCCTCTTTAAAAAAAAACAAAAAAAAAACATTAAGGATAAGAAAAGGTACTTCAGCTTCACATGTTTACAAAGCTTTAACATTCACAGATGTCAAGATAGAGGCTACAATCTGACAACAACATACTAGAGGACTTCTTTCATCAGATTCTTTCATCAATGCACAAGATGATGTTGAAGGTGTGATCCTTTTAGCACTAAAACAAAACAGACAAGGCCCTAGGCTGATCTCCACCGTCTCATACAATCAGTCTGATTAGCCTCAAAAGATAAACCAACACATTTCTCATGCCATCTTTAAACGTTCTATTAGTTAAAAGTATAGAAAGCCATATTTTACTTGCAAGTTGCACATTAGTGGCTAGCTAACGTTTTTATGGCTAGCCATGTGGCCTAGGTTGGCTCTTTTGTCACTGTAACTGTAGCAGACAAAAGCCATTTTTATGGTTTTAGAGTAATATGTACATGTATTCATATTTAGTGAAGTTTTTTTAAATGAAAATTCTACTGTACTTATGCATCAAAACACCAGTTGTCGGCCTCACATTTGAGGATCACATTTTGTACTTGACCTGTTTGTAGTCAAAAACGACATCAAGTGTTCCAATGAGAACAATCCTTCAGTGCTGTTGTAGGACACATTATTTATACTGTATTCATATAGCCCTTGTAAGTTTGGTGCTGTTGGATGTATTTTAAAAAAGAACAAAGATTTTTCAAACATTCATTGCTGCACCATATACAGAAATCAATGGTGTCCATCTTCAGAAGTTCATGTATAAATATCATCACCACACACACATAGGGACTCACACACACAAAAACTAGTTGGTGGCCATTCAGTCCTCATCCCCTCTAAGCTCGCTGGGCAGAAATTTGTACTGTTGTTGTCTAATCTGAGCAAGCTTCTTCCTGGCCTCTTCCAACTCTCTCTCCTTCCTCAACATCTCTTCCTGTGCAGCAATAATCTGAGGGGGTTACAGGGAACACACATCACAAATCTAATAGCACTTGAAAATTACTGTTCATGGTTATTAGCAGCAGATAGAGATAAGTACACCTGGCAATTAACGGATGAGTTGAATAAAAAAAAAAATTGTGCGGGAACCTGCCCCCTCCAGGACCAGAGTTCCCCACCTTTGCTTTAAAGTAAAATATGTACGATAGTGAGTTTCACCTGAGCAATTCCTCCGACAAACTTGGTCTTGACCACCACATTTTCGTCATCTGCCTTGTCAAAGGCTGCTTTCTGAGCAGCTTTTACCAGATTATCTGATGCTCGCTTCACTGCGTTGCCTGCAGCCTGTGTACAAGACAGCATAGGAATGTGGACCATGGAATTTGAAATTTGATTTAATTGGTCATCAGGTCATCAGCATAGTTATTATTAACCTTTATTTTTACTTTCACACATGTTCATAATGTAAACAGGGCCCCTGCCCTCTTGCCCTCTGTTTTGGTGAAGTAACACCAGAGGGTGCCTCCGTGCGGTGCTAACAATGAAAAAAAAAATGTTAATTAAGTAAAACTCATTCGCTAGAATGGTACCACAATGCAGTGGGAACACTTTCCCCCACACACCGGAGATCAGAGTGTTATTCCCTGCCTTAAAATGGATGGTGTTACCATATTACTGGAATTTTCGGTTTAGCAATGAGCCCTTTAATGATTCCCTTTTTTCCTCTTGAGCCCTCGCCCCAAAAAATCCTGCGTCCTACAATGCCATCCAAATATCTTGACTTTGTGGAAGTTTAATGGCAGTAGTTAGAAGTTGAAGTTTTAACACATATAAACTAAATTCTAAAAATAAATCAAAGACACAGATATTTAATGAAACAAAAGACTTTCTTTTGAATCAGAAACATTTACAACACTTACAGATTTTCTCTTTTAGCGTGTGCATGCGTGCAAAATCTGTGGGACTATTAAGTCCACAAGCTGGTCATGGGCGGGAGCCAGGAGGTGTGCATGTGTGTGTGTCTGTACCTGTAATCTCCTCATCGCCTCAGAGTCCTGGTCAGCTTTCACTTTGCAGGCCACCAGCAGTTGGGCGGTGGATGCAGCTACCTGCTTGGCTGAAGAAATGAGCTTCTCCTCAGTGGCATGGCCTTGCACTGACGCATTTGCGGCTTCACACAGGTTACTGGTTGCTGCTGCAACCATACGTGCCTGAAACAGCGTAGAAGCGGAGCTTCAACAAATGTGCATACATGCTTTTACTTGAGCACATTATTTTTAATTGGGATTAGGAATGATTCAAGTCTGTCTGAATGTAATACTATTATTTAAGCTTTTCAATATTAAAAAATGTCTCATGATGCTATTTGAACTCACAGCTGAGATGAGTCCTTGTGACCACTGGCCATCGTCCTCAGCATTAGCAGGGATAGAGCCCACCTACGGAGGACATTAAAAGACAAATTCCACACAAATTTTGCACACTGCACATGCATATCTTAAACACTGATAATGCAATCAGTGAAAAGGTAACAGCAGCTATTCATTGGTCTCTCTCCCTCTTCAGATTAATTAGCTATGTTGTGTGTTTTCAGAGTGTGCATGTGTTGTTACCTTGCCCTGTGCCACAAGCTCTCTTTGGGCAGCTGAAGCTGATTTTACCAAGGCACTAGTTGCTGCAGCAATAGATTTGGCTGCTTCTAAAATCTGCTCCTCAAAGTCCAGACTCTCATCAGCTTGCTGCAAAGAAATTGATCTTAATTTAATGCAAATAAAAATAAGGAATTCCAAAACCACAATGTATTCAAAAAGTGAACTATAGTGTTGATTTGGTATCAACCAAAATTTGGTATCAAATTCTTTGTTAATTATTTCATAATTCAATTAACAATTTGAATATATAAACAATATACTTCCAATTAGCCAGTCAATGAACAGCAGTTTGGTTTGAATTCACTGAAGGGAAGTTGACATTCATGTTCATTCATTCTAACCAACAGTTCAAAATACCTACATATGCATCTTATTGGCAAACAGCTGTGGACAACTCGGGGATATCTTTTCTGAGGGACCATACAATTGGTTATTTAAAAAAGAAAACGCAGAATAAGGATCTTATTTTATGTATAAATAATAATGAAATATACAGTTATACTGCAGAGTCTGTGATAAAAGACATCTGTAAACGTAGACAGCAGACAGGATGGGACAAGATTGTCAAGATATGCATGTTAATATTATTTTTTCGATACAGGGGTTGCTGCGAAATGATACATGTTGTGAACTGAATACAATTAGATTTCATGCTATAATCATCAAAACATCAAAGGGGAAAAAAACTCTCAGAACTGTAAAAATGGTTTGGTTAGCCAACCTTTGGACAAAGCTGAAGTTCTTATTCACCAGCTTTTTATTCAAATTTACTGTTCCCCTTCTTAAATGTGCAGCAATTACATTCTGGCATCTCAGGAAAATTAAACAAAGAAGCTGACAAATACATAGCTAACTTCAGCTTTGTCTACCCTGAATGGTTGATTAGTCAAGCTGTTTAAAATGCTGATTGGAGAGAGCAAAGTTAAGCTGGAAGTGTAATAATTAAAGATAATTATGTTAGCATTTCTTTTATAATTCTGTATGGAAAATGTATAATAATGCAAAAACAGCAATTAGTATGGCATCTTGAAATTTGCATAGCGTTACACCCCTATGAGAGACTGTATTAATGTTTGATAAGTATAGCTGGACTGAATAACAACCTAATATACCAAACATATCAGACAGAGCCCTACACAGCGCCCCATCACTGGCATAAAGCATCTGTGTGTGTACCTTTGGTTTAGCTCTAGGTTTCAGCTGCTCCAGTTTTTTGGCAGCTGCTTCAATCGAGGCCGCAGCTCCCAGTAGCTCTGTTTCAGCAATCACTGTAGGATCCTCTGGGTCTACCCACTCAGTGCCTGAAAAACACACACACACACACACACACACACACACACACACACACACACACACACTCTGAGTCTATATACTTCAAGCAGCCATCTAACAAATCTGGATAATTACTCTGAATGCCAATCATTACTTTCACATGCAACAAAAAAAAGCATGGGATAAGAGATGACTCCATCACAAAAACTTGAGATGAGAAACAACATATGATAGGAAACAGAAAAACAATTAATGTGATGTCATTCAGATGACAAATCTGCTGTTCTTTTCCAATCAGTACTCTGTTTCGCTCACATATGAGGTTAAAGGCACTGCAACAATGTCTTTGAACTTCTCTGCAAAAGAATTTAGGCAACAAGAAGTGCAAACCAGAAAGTCCATATCCTTAGCACAATCTATACCGACTTTACAAAGGTTTAACTTAGTTCTAAAAATGCTTTATCTGTTGACCTTATACATGAACCAAGGATTCATGTCAAACACATAGTCTAACTCTTTCTGCCTATCTATGAGAATAGAAACATCATTCTAAAGAAATGATAAAAGCTATTTTCTTAATGGAGTGATAAATAGTAAGAGAGATGATGGTACAATAATGAGATGAAAACGCAGACTTGTGCTGGTCTGAACGTTACTTACCCTCATCTGGTGCAAAAAAAGGAGACACAGCAGTCTTACTCACAACAAACATTTTGGTTCCTAACTCTATAAGAGAGTACAGGGGGTCTGGACTAGGGCCCAACCGATATGAACATTATGTCATTAGATGATACAATTTTATATGGCTCCATTAGTGTTACTTAAACTGTAAACTGACATGACTGTCAGTTGTCAACTGTGAAATGTCAAATTTCACTGTCAGTTCCTCATAGTCAAATTCCTTTTTGTTCACTATGATGGTATTTTGTGCACAGGTGTATTAGTGCAATCTGTATAGCTGTAAGCTGAGAAATTGCTTACTGTCAGCTTAGTAGTCTATGCAAAGATGGCACAAGAAAACATAAAATCATTAAAATGAGACAAATGAGACATTCAGAAGTGTGTTCATTACAATAGAAAATCAGCCCCTTACAAACGTTTTAGTCCAACCGCCAATATCTGCCGATACCCACAATTCCATCTAACATTAATATCAGTCAAGCCCTAGTCTGGACCCACATTTCTGTAAAGCTGCTTTCTGACCATGTCAGTTGTGAAAAGAACTTTAAAAATATTTTTTTTTTCAAATGAATTATGTTTGTTCCTGCCTTTCATAGCTTCTGCTGTCTGAATGAGTTCAGTAACAGCTCCTGCTACTCGTTTGGAGAACACTGCCAAGTGCTGCTTCTGCTCGGCTGTGGGCCTCTGAAGGACCTACACACACAAACAAAGAAACTTCATAAAGGATCAACAATATGTATGTTTTTTGTGGTGTTCTTATGTATGCATATTTGTATGGACCTGCAGAACTTGCTCTAGTAGTTCTACATATCCATTGGTGCATTCGGTTCCATACAGAAGAGCTCTGCTCCTGACCTCCTCACTGACCCCATCATGATACGCTGCTTGCTGTGGTGGACACACAAACAAAATATTTTGTAACACACCCATGCTGCAAAATGTAACTGAAATGTAGGTACACTTAGTGGCTACTTTACGTCTGCTTGGTTGGTACACCTTGTAGACTACAGATCAGAATTTTTTCAATAACTATTTGTTTCTTATGATCTTGTAGCCCTTCAGTAGTTGCCAGTTTCTGAACAGTGTTAGGACAGGCTGGACATTTTTCGTTGGTGAATGGTTCTCAACCCAGCAGTGACACTGAGGTGTTTAAAACCCCAGCAATGGTGCTGTGTCTGATGAACATGTACCACCACAACACACTAACATTTCACTACCATGCCAATGTCACTGCTGAGCTGAAAAGTGTACTCTAACAAATAATATCTGGTTGTCTTTGGTGGTCTCTTTCCAATCCAACCAGCAATATTTGGATCAAATTGTCCTCAGCAACAGATGGGCTACTACATTTATAACTACAAAGTGCAAATGATGCGTGACAAATGATAGGAAAACCCTAAAAAAATAAAGAGAGACATGTTTCAAAATTAGTGAGATATGTTTAAAAACAAACAAACAAACAAACAAACAAACAAAAAAGAAGAGCTCTGACTGAAAGTCAATGCAGGATGTGATCACACTGTGGCAGCACAAACAGTCCATCCACAAATTCACAGAGGGGGATATTATAGTAGAACTGCAGTGCATAAACTCGATAAGGATATAAATATATAAACTTAAAAGACAATGCGCCTATTTGAGAGTTCATTGGTACAAACATTATATGCATTAGTATTTTAGAGTATATTAGTCACAATACTTTGCTGACTATAATAACTATGTAAATCATCCAATTAAACAATTATGGGAGATAGATGGACAGATGTGTTCATCATCATCATCATCATCATCATCATCAAAAAAAAAAACATTTGAGGGAATATCTTTCAGAAGCATGGAGTTTCATCCCTCCAGTACAGTACAAAGCACTTTGCAGCTGTTCTGGTGACTCAGTGTGGCCCAACACCTAATACACTTCATTTTGTTTTTCCCCTTAATTTGTCACATGCTTAGTTGGTGTACCTAACAAAAAGGTCAACATATGGAATAAAATATGCACAACTCTAACAACACACACCTTGCATGCTGTCAGCATGTCTGCGATAACTTTGCGGCTAAGGTTAGCTGTCGAAATTACATCTTCCTGTCTGGCGGAGTTTCCAGCAGCCACAGCTTTAGCAGTTGCTGTGGTGATGCCCTTGGTCATCCTAATGAACTCCTCAGGAGTGGTGAATTTCCCTGGAGTGTCTTTAGACTGAAAAACCTAAACAGGGCAAAACCAAGTCACATTTCTCACTCTGCACAAAACAACTGTTAACGGTCAAATGTATAAGGACCACAATATATGCAAAAGTTAGGCAGAATCAGCAGACTGCAATATATAGGCTATTCAACACTTAAAAATGAATGTCACCAAAAACGCAATCTGATTTCAGGCTTGATAAGAAAGAAAACCTGGACCTAGCTATGTAAAACACATTAACAGCAGACTTAAAAAGAAGAATAAATGGTGGTACAAAGAGCTGTTTAAACAGTTGTTAGCATTAGCTGGCTAGTTATCACAGCTTCACAGGAAAGGTATCTTTGAGAAACTTGGCCGAGTTTCAAAGGAGCTTCAGCAGGACCCTTCACATTATTCAACTCAAGGAAAATTTAGTTTCATGTAGTGTTATTAGCCCTACAACCTTTTATAATTGAAGCAGTGGCTGCATTTTGTGTGTGTATGATGCTCGTACAGTGAGTTCTTGTCTAATACACTCAATGGTGGCCTCCAGTGCTCTGGTGCCTCTAGTAGCCTCGTCTTCCACTGCTTTCACGGTCTTCAGCAAAGATGTCACATTAGTTACCATCACCTGTTACAGCGTACAGGAGGGAGAGGTGCATTAGAGCAAAATAGTCACTGCTAATATATCTTTACACCTCAGTCTATTTACAGTTTAAAATTATGCAGATTATTTAAAAATGCACAAACAGCACACCACCAAAAGGACAATGGTCATGATTAAACATAGAAACCCACATAGATTACAATGGATCTAATTCTAAAGTCATGCAGGACCATTTTAATTAACAGTTAGTCATCACTGCCAGCTTTTCTCTACATCAGCTAGAGCCTGTGGACAGGCAAAGAGAAATATGATTAATAACTATAATGCCAGGCAACTAATTAACAGCTAAGTGGCATGCACACACCCTGGAGTGGCCTCTCACTAGCACATATTTATTCATAGCTGAGTTAAAGAGTAATTCCACTCCTGCTGAGTTTTAAGAGACAAGTGGGCAAATCACAGTATTCAAGGACAAAAGCTGCACTCCTTCAGTAAGAAGTGGAAATCATAATGTATTTTCCTTCCACAAGAGGACATATTTCTGAGTGAAACACTGTGGTAGTGAGTATTTCTGCTCATCAATAAATGGGTATTGTGAGTGGGGGGTGGTGGTGAAACATCATATTATTGATCAATATTATTTTTCCCTGCTCACGGGTGCAAGGTGACGCAGGCAACAGTCAGAGAACATTTTTGAGGTGGACAAAAAAATCAGGAAAACAGAAATTTTGTCATTTAAAATGGTATGATGTGATGAATCATGCTCAGTATGACCAAGGACGTGAACTACAAGTAAAAAGGTCAGTTTTGATTTCAGGTTGACATCAAATAAAATGTAGGCCATTAGAAAATGAGCTGTCAGACTAATCACTAATATATGGACTCTATCGGCATGTGTATGCATTAAGTACCTTAGCTGCACTTTTGAGCTGGAACATAGATGAGTCATCAGCTGCTTTGCCTGCTGCACACTTGGTGGCACCAATGAGTTCAGCTAAAGCTTTGGCAACATCTTTCACTGCATTGAGCAACACCACCTGTAAAAAGGAGACAGTGTTGCCTCTCACAAACATTTCTTTCTCCCTCCTGTCTTGCAACATGTCTCTGAATTCATGAGTTCAATTTCAATTATCTTAAAATAAAATGTAAATCAAATCCGATTTAATCTCTCTTTTGTCCACCTGAGTCTCGGGGTCATCAGGGCCGATGCTTGCCGCTCCCAGTTTCACCACATCAGTGAGCTGTGTGATGGTCTTGGCTGATGACTGGGCTGCCCGGGCCAGCTTCTCCTGACCAGATGCAGCACCAGACACCAGGTTCTTGGTGTCCTCCACCAGAGCTTTAGCCGTCTTCAGAATATTCTCTCTGAAAAACACACACAGACAATACTTCCATCTTTAAGAAAATAACTGGAAAATTAGATTCCTGATTTTATGGTGTTTTAAAAATCTGTATTTCAATGAATGGGAGTGACTGTGTGTTACCTATGCTCAGCAAAGGAATCTGTGTCAGTTTCAGCATTGAGTGTGCTAGCTGAGGCAAACATGATGGTGGTGTCAAGGTCAGCGATGATGCCGGACACAGCACTAGCTGCAGTAATGCATGCCTGAGTGCCCTTATTACCAGCCTGTAGCACTGACAACACCATAGAGACCTCACACACACACACACACACACACACACACAGAATATTAGACACAAGAGTATAAATTTCATAAAAGCAATTTTTTCGACTGACAGCAGTTTACAGTCATTTTATCACCAATCCTAATTAAAAATTCCATGTAACTGAGAAAGGACAGTTTGAGTTAAAGAGTGCTTACTGACTAACATGATTGTTAGTTGTCAGTTAAGAGTTCAAGTCAAACAGTCAAATATGATTGTCAGTCAAAGTTAAATTAAGTATTAAAATATTGTATATATTGTGATGTAAGGGTTTCGTTGGATTCTGTTAGTAAGATTTGTTTTTCCCAATAAGATGTCTCCACATAAAGGTTTGTTACCATGTTATTGATGCACCATGTTATCCTCATGCTAAACGTTAGGTTTGGATGCATGTCACATGTTTTTTGCTATTTTAGCCATGGCTGTGTTTTGTGTTTAAGTTTACCAGTTCAGCCTGCAAAGGAGAGCTTGGCAGTTAGTGTAAAGATTCGTATCAGAGATTGAATTAATGAATCCTCACAAATTCTCCTCATGTTAGAGCAGTGAGCAGTAAGATCAGTCAAATAAAAATATTCACATCTCAAAACTGATACATTTGGGCAATGTTATAATCAACCAATAGGGCCTTTCAAGGGAGTTGGGACTTGCATGTGAGTAAAGGGTTTGTGTGTATAAATGCGATTTGTGAGCATGTAAATGCCTGTGCTACCTTTTCAGTGACGACTCGTGCATACTCAATGAGTTCTCTCTTAGTTATGGAGTCAGACGGGCAGATCTGTAAAGCTCCAGCTTTCTGCACTAACACAAGGCAGCCATGGCCCAGCTCCTGCACCCGCATCTTTATTTGCACTCCAATCTGCATAAGCAAAGTGAAATCTGTGACTACACACTGCTGTTCTCCAAAACAGCATATACATGTTTAGTTTGACACCGCCCTTTACAATCAAATTTAAAACAAACAAAAACAAAAACCAGGGGTTCATTATTGTCCTTACAGCCATTAGCATGTAATAACAACAACAACAACAATAATAACAATAATAACAACAAAAACAACAGCACCAACAACAGCAACAATAATAAAAATAATAATAAATAAGAGACCTCTTCAGGCTCTGCTGTAGCCGCAGCAAGACATCCTTGTAGTGCAAGTTGACTGTAGTCTCCTGTGACCTGAGATGCTAAACTACCCAACTCCTCTGGAGCACTCACTGACTTTGTCATCTAAGATGAACACAGGGAGAAGAATGAAAAAAGAGCAGGAGACATTAACAAAAGTCATAGTCTGTACATAGTCTGAATTGGTGACTGAGAGCTGCTTACCATCTCCTGCGCAGTTACAGCAATGGCTTTGGAATACTTCACCATGGTGGTCTGGTAGTCCACAAAGGAACCCTCTGGCTCTGGTGGCGTCCCCTCCCCCAACTACATAAACAAATACACAAACAGTTCAGCAACATGATAAAAAAAAAATACACATTTGCACTTACGGCTATATTGCTACATATTGTGACTGCAGAACACATTGTAAAATATTACGCATTAGTTAAAGAAGCCTGAATTATTCAAACTAAATAATATACTTTATTGAATTACATTAATGATTAATTAAACACTCCTCTGCAACAGTTATTGGTCAAGATGTCGACAGTGAAAATGATTGGTTGGGGGTTCATTTGCATACTTCAGCCAATATCGTGATGACAAAAACAATATGATGTGTAGCCCTAACAATCAGCATTTAAATTAACAAAATCCATCATAAAACTTCTAAAGAATCACTGGGGCCATTTAAAGAAGGGCTATTTATAATTGCTAATGGTACATGTGATTATTTGTTTTTACCTTGCCCATGGAATCAGCAATGGAATCCACCATGCCACCCACTATGCCCACCTCACTGGCAGCCTCATTCAGGGTCACCATTAAGTCATCGACAGCCTCCCTCATCAGTTGGGTTGCCTCTGCTATGGCATCATGGGTAAGAGTCGCCTGCTATTACACACATCAGGGAATACATCATGCTTTCATGTGCACACACAGGTGTTAATCATAGTTTGAAAACTGAATCATGAAACCTTGGCGTCATCTTAAATTATGAGCTCTGTTTTAACCCTAATATCAACGCAAGCACACAAGTAGCTTTTTATCATTTGAGAAATATTGCTAAAGTTTGGCCTTTTTTATCTCTGAGCCATGCAGAGAAATTTGTTAATGCATTTGTTACAAGCAGACATGACTACTGTAATGCTCTTCTTACTGTGCTTTCCTAAGAAAACAATATATTCTCTACAACTCGTACAAAATTCAGCAGCATGGATCCTGTCAAAAAGAGAGATTATATCACTCCCATTTTGAAAGAACTGCATTAGCTACCTGTATTTTTCAGGATAGATTTCTGCTCCTAGTTTTTAAGGCTGTAATTGACCTAGCACCTGTGTACCTCACAGAATGTCTGTCTATGTTCCAACATATAATCTTTGATCTGCAGATACTGTCCTTCTGCAAACACCTTCCGTAAAATACAGAAAACGTGGAGAGACTTCTTTCAGTTATTATGCTTCTAAACCTTCTATTAGACAGCTCAGCTCACATAAAATGTATCTTTTTAACTCAGCATTAAGCAGCGTTAAGCACTTTTATTAAACAAGTTAACTGTAGTTTTTAGGTTTTGTGAAGTTGAAATTTAGTCAGAAGCCCTGGCTTAGCTGAATGTGCTGAGATACAGGCTCATGGAGTGCATGTTTGTCAGTAGGTGCTACCAGGAGAAAATGGTCAACAACCTTCCCCCTAAGATTCTATTTTAGTTCCAAATTGCATCTAACATGCCCCACCCCTTACCTAACGCTACGCATCTGATTCAGCCAATCAAGGACTTCTAAAGCAGTTGAAGAAGTTAATTAGCTGGACCAGGTGTGGCAGATTGTGGTTGGAACTGGACTCTGCAAAAAGGCAGATCCTCAGGACCATCTCTTACCACTGTTCCACATGGTAGACATGTCATGCTGAGTATTTTTTCTTTTGTTTTAACCATAAAATCTGCCTCACATTTGAAGGTATGACACCAACCTGAGGAATATCAATATGTGGGTTAATGCACATTCAATGTGTTTCAATTGATTCAGTGCATATTCTACATTTCAAACCTTTGGGTTCCCACCGCCTTCCTTGGCAGCATAGAGCATCTGCAGGGCAGACTCCGCTAGGGTCTTGGTCTGATCTAGAAGGTTCATCTGCTGCTGGTGGTGCATGATTTTAGAGGCCATGCCCACTGCTGCACTGTGCAGAGGCTCAAAGTAACTAGCAAGCTGAGATACCTGTGGACAGACACAGACACAGACAGACACAGACAGACACACACACACACACACACACACACATTATATATACATATACATTACACCTACACCAAACAATTTATTACACTGTACACAACTATCAGCTCCTTCAAAAATGAGAATACATGTATCTGTCATCCTAGATAAAGCACTGAACCAAAGTACACTTCACACTGTAGCAGTCATTCCGGAGGAATGATAATTCATACTTATAAAGGAGAAGGGTCTATAAGCACCTTATGTCCCAGCTGTGCTGCCTCTCCTTTGGCTGCTGTGGAGATGGGCTCAATCAAGTGACCCACTTCCTGCACTGATGACATTAGTTGCTCCTGCAAAGCCTGATGGGGTACAAGTCTTTTGAGTATCCACTGAGAAAACGCATTCTTATGTTACAGGATTATACGTTTTGTATTATAGGTCTGTATTTTTATGATATTACTCTAAGGCTGATGATTATTACCTCCAATGAGATGTCCTCTCGGGTGGGTAGATTTTGACTAATAGCAGCAAGGGAGGCACGCTCAATATCTCTGATACATTTATTAATGCTGTCTATTGCAGAGTCACACTCCCTCTGACCAGGAGCCTTGTCCCTATGAAACGCACATACAAGTAATACTTGTATATAGGATATATATATATATTTTTTTTTAAATGAAAGGTGCTGAAGTGTATGTTTCTGTTTGCTACCTGATAGCAGTGATGAGGCTTTTGATGGAGTCCGACACAGTACGTGAATGGCTAGCAAGTAAGGACCATGTGGGAGGGTCTTTAGGGTTCATAACCAAGGAGCGTGCAGTCTTTAGGAGCTGGGTGGAGCTATCCAGCATGGACCGTGCTGATTGGAGGATTGGCTCCTGTGCAGCAGACCCCTAAAGTTTAAGGGCAAATGGGGTGTTATGGTTATGACCTTGTAGTGTTTTAACAAATTGATAAATATGCTATTCATTACGATGACACGCTATAAATGTTCCACAACATGAGAAGAGATGGCAGGGCTGATCGGTTATGTATTGGTATCGGGCAATTTTCAAATATGCAACCGGCCAATATTTCTCTACCTCAGCTGATCCTGAAAGCTGATCATTAACGATGAGCCATATTTTCCTGATATGTAACTGCAGCACCTTTTAAGCTGGAACAGAAAAATTCGAACAAGAAGCTGGCAAATAGAAAGCCAACTAAAAAATTTTCCCTTAAGTATATTATATATTTGGCTCTCATGTGACTGTAAACTCAGTATTTGAACATAATAACTAACGTGATTTGTTGTTAAAGCTTTAAAGATTAATTTCTGTTAACAAGTTAGCATCCAATCTTCAGGAGGACTGCTTTGTCCTGTTAGCTGTGCTGGTTGCATAGGCCACAATTATTTCAATGATTGCGCTAGTCTGAGGCGCTAGAATGTAACTGCTGCACGATTCAAGAAAATTCGGACAAGAAGCTGGCAAAAAGGAAGCTGACTTCAGCTTTATCGAGAGTTGAAAGGGATAAGAATGTTTCTCTGCTTGACAAGCGGGTAACATTAACTTAATTTTGCTGTTGCACAGAATCAGTAGGTCAGGGTTGTTTGGTCCTGTTTGCTAATGTTTGTGGTTAGCTTTGCAGTAGCAATTGTAGCGACAGTTTGCTAACCCACAACCTAGCTAAAGTTGGTTACATTACTTGCTATATCACTCTATATTGCTCTAATATTATATCATGTGTACATGCATTTGTCCGCGCAACATTTGTGAAGGGTTTTATGGCCACGAAGATCTAAAGTTTCGGTTGCCTTGGAAATGCATGTTCATGAATTTTTGGGGCAGAGCTACTGTATTTGATATGCTGTTGATAATTCCTTCTGTGCCTTTAAATGCGGCATCCAGCTCCATCCTCTATTGGTATCGGCTTATGGCGGATGCAGATGCTGAAAGGCAATTGGCATCAGCTCCAAAAACACAGATCAGTCCAACTCTAATGAGAGCCACAATAAAACCAAACACACCTCCCTGCTTATTAGTGCAGGAACACTGGCAAACTCTGGGTTAGAAGCAAAAGTAGTCAGATTGTCCACAGCTTCAATGAGGGGAGCTGTTGCAACACGGCAATTTTCACGGTTCTCATCAGAGAAATCCCCATCAAGAGCCTGGGCAGAGAGAAGAGATAAGTCGGAAATTAAAAAATCATTTGAAGATTTATAGATTGTCAGTAGTTTTAAAGTAAACAGTGTAAAACAGTGGTCACCAACCCTCCAGCCAAAGACTGTGGCTAGAACTAGACTCTGCTGGAAGGTAAATTTCCAAAACCAGGGTTGGTGACCACTGCTGTAAAAAGTATTTCCTGGCAAAGGTGGTACCTTAATAGTTTTGACCAGGCTGGCTGTGCTATTTGCCACCTCTTTGGCTGACTGGACAAAGTGACGCTTGGCAACAGGGTTTGCCGTCTTAGAAGAGGCCAGACGACAGGCGTTACACAAGGCTGAAGTGTGTTTTGCCACAATAGTAGCAGCAGAGAGCACCTACAACGCGCACACACACACACACAGACACACACACACAAAATAAACTGTTTCAGACCAAGAGATTTTGCTACAAGACTATATACAAAGACTAAGAGGATCTGCTCTTCTGCTTTTTGTGTTGTTTCATGTATTCATAACCCATTATCCATGTGCTACTGTAAGTAAGTCCCCTTAAAGATTAATAGTTATATCCTCTCTCTTTACACAAATGCACATAAGCAGATGGAAACTCACTAACTGAAGCTCTCAGGGTTTTCCAGTCACTTTAGTAGCAGAATGATCATGCAATCAGCCACTCAAGTGTCATGGAGCCTACTGAGCTACACTGCTCTTTCACATGGCCAGTGCATGGACAAGGAATGACATTCCCTTAACAGGACCTCACAGTCTGCTCTCTTGTACAACATCTGCTCTAATCCTTACCTGAGAGGGACTACTGCCTGGGTCCACGAGGTTCTGACAGGCCATCTGGATTGCCTGATTGGCTCGAGCAAACTGAACGGGATCCACTAAGCCCTGATGACCTGTTTGGCTGTTAGGATCAGACACGCCTACTAGGTATGAAGCCTATGAATAGGAGAATAAATTAATACATACAAACATAACATAATATCAATAAATTATCACAGTATGTAGACTATAGTATGTGACAGTGAATCCAACATCCTTGAGAACAGTTGGTGAATTATTTTGTACTATGATTTGCAATTTTTTTTTTATCATTTTAAAAAGGGAGGCTACAGAGGGTGTAAGCATGCTAGCAGGGACTTTCCTTTTGTTGTTTTGCTGTATTCTGGATATTGTGTGAGATGTTTTCAAGGAGTATCAAATCTGTAGTGCAGAAGTGCTTGGGTGCTTTTAATCCCTACTTGATATTCAACATTAACAGGAATAAACAGTGTTTTTAAATTAAAACTGGGTAAAGTCTTAGACTTTGACATTTCGTTGTACGCCTTTTCTTCGTCAAAATTCTTGGCTGTTTTTCTCTTTTAATTGTTATTAATGGCCATTTTTGGCCCAACATTTTTGCTGACCGAAATTTTAGTCCTGACTGAAGAATACCTTTATCAGCACTACAGAAGCAGAGAAACACCAATGATTTGCAGTAGTACACTAAACAGAGAAGCATCAATAATTTGCTGAGTGAAAGATGGCAAGATGTGACGTTCCTTACCTGTCCAGCCGCCTCAGTCAGCCCACATAAAGCTTTAGAGGCCACAGCTACACAATCTCCAAAAGCTGGAACATCTCCTGTCTTACAGTTGTGGGAGATACCAGCCATAGACTCACCAAGGACCTATATGTCCAAGCGTGCACGCATACGCACCCACACACACCCACCCACCCCCACCCACACCAACACCAACACCCACACCCACACCCACACCCATACAAAATGCATAGAAAGTTAGTTTAGCATCCTATTAACCTAAAATATGTATATGCCAACACATGAATTAGCGTACCTTAGAGCTCTCCATGACACTCTCAATGCAGTCAAAATACGAGAGATCATTGACTGGCTCATTAGGATTGTCCAGCAACCCCCTCACAGCCTAGAAAACATGCACAAGAAGTTTGTTTTTCTCTTTTATGTGGTTTACTCATGGCGTCAAGGACCTGAAAGTTAACTGCAATCTAAGTCAATTCTAGGTTCTTTAGATTGTTTTGAAAGAACAGTTTAAAATCCATTAAATTTAAACAGTAGTAAGTTTCCTTTCTGAAAAAGCTTTCTGTCTGATTAACATTTACTGTGTTCTGTTACCTTTGGTGTTATTTAAAGAGAAGCAGAACAGAAAAAAATAGTTTAATTAAAAGCTATTTTAGTTTTGTAAGACATTCTTTTAGCATAGAGTTCCAGTACTCAGGAAGCATGAGTTCATTAACTGTATTCATTGATTAATAACAATTTTGTCAATGTCATCCAGCACTAAAACAGAGACAGCAAGAGAGGGGCATAAGGTAAAGTACCTCCAGCTCTCTGAGCGCACTGTCACACTCCTTCTGCCCCGGGACTTGCTGTGTACACAGATTAATCAACTGGTTAACGCTGTCAGTTACAGACCTGGTGCAAAAAAACAAAGCAAGCAAAGATAGTGGCCTGAATTAGCACATATGTTCAATTAGAGGTCAAAGGAGGAGATTGGGGTGGCATCTCAGGTAACCAAGAAAAAGAAAAACGTTAAAAGTGTACAGCTTCACTGAAGTTGCCCATCAGCTCATATCCAATGGCTATACCATTTTAATGTAATCTTTTCTCCAGGTCTTTTATTAGGGGCTCACACTGCTGGCTGCACGTTTCCATTAACAAACCAAACAAAGTTAGCTGGCAGGTCAGAAGTCAGTCTTCCAGATCTCTGCACACTTCAAATAGGCATTATTATAAATCTGCTTTTGTGTGGAGTGTTCAGCTGAGACTTCAGTATGGTTTAACTTAAGTATGGTTTTAACCACTTTATTTATACAGTAACTTTATTAAACAGAGTACAGTAAATAAGCAAACCCACCTAAAGTCTAGAATTTAAAAATGTTTTCTTTAATTTTGCCATGAGCTGTTTGTCAAGGTGATTTAGTCTTTTGTTTAGTCCCAGAAAAGATTCAGAGCAAAAAGGTATGAGCTATTTGGCTTTATAATAGCCAAATATATTTTAAATATTTATACACATCATCTCGTTCATACACTACCATAGGAATTTTTAGCAGAGCGATTAAAAACAAATCTTTAACACAAATTGGAAAGTTATGTTTAGGCAGTGCAAAGGCAAAGAGCTCCCAGAGGTTATAGGGAACTATGAACACTCTCATACACACACACCCCTTCCTACCTACCTGGCGGCAGCAGCAAGCAGGCTCTTGGCATTAGCTGCTCCAGGGTCCACAGACAAAGACTTGGCAGCCAGCAGGAGCTTACTGGAGGCCATGGAGATGTTCTTCAGATTTCCAATCACCTGGAACTGGTCTTCCTTACTCTATAAAACAAAGCAGTGCTTCTGAACTAAAGTTATTCTTAATTCCACAGGAAACACACACACAGCTCTTATAATGACACCACAATATTTTAGTGACTTCAGCAGTAGGTCTAACGAGTGTTTTAAATACTTTCCTCATGAATGTTGGATTTTGTAAGCATTAGCAGTTAAATGAACTGCTGATATAACTGACTGGCACCAGTGTCATGTCTACCAATGAATTCAAAATCAAAGCCTGCAAACTGGATTTAAGGTGACCGAAACATAAGAAGGATACAGTAAGAAATCCATGTCACATCACTGAACAGCTTGTCTAATCAGGCATTCAGTTTCCAACTCTCAGCACTACCTCTCAGCATCTGAAGATAAACCAACTTGCCTGTGTGTGGCCAGCCATCTCAATGCCAGCATCCAGAAACTCATCAAAGTCTTCGCTGAACTTTCCAGAAGCATCGGCAAGCTGACTGCTGGTTCCTTTGGAGGCATGGACCACATCACCTGCAGACTGGTTTAGATCAGCTGCTGTTTGATTTAAATCACTCTGAGCTTCCTGGAAGGATTTACTGCAAGGAGGAATCTGAAAAAAAAGACAGCATGTCAAATAGCTGAGTGAAGTGTAGTGCATCTAAATCCTTAGGTATAACACTGCAGTAGGACTGCTTTAAATATCATCTACACTGTTTATTCATAACTCACTGTTTCCATCAGCAGTTTTTTGCTGGCTTCACCAATGTTCTTCAGAGCCATGTCAACATCCTTCTGCCCTGGAAGGCAGTTCACACACGCACTGAGGGAGTGAGACACAGACCTCGCCACCTAACACACAAATGGAGAAAGGGAGCTTGTTCTATTGGCCACAGGTAAAACAGAGAATAACTGACCTTTTCTTTGTCCACTAAAAAACAAATGTGTCACAAAAATATAGAGAATAGATGGTATTGGTCATATTTAATAAAACAGACACATGAAAAAAAAAAAGATTGCTTTGTCTATAGGCTTAATTGGGCTTCTCTGAAAATCAGCACTTTATAATCTGGCCACACGGTGGCACTGAATAGTTTTGCTGCAGCGCCCACTGACAGTTAAAGGAGATAACTAAATCTGACATATTTTGATCACTGTGCAAAAATGTAACCAATGAATCTCATTTTGTAGGCTCACATTTGTAAACCTACATAGTGCTTTTCAGACACTCTGATGCTTATTTTACATGCACCTCTCAACTCAAGCTTAATAACACTGGTCAAGACAATTGACATTGCAATAATGTCATCAAATTGCTGATGTCTTCAGAAGTCTACCAGTCACCTAACACAGCAATAATAACTAAAGCAAAGAATAATTGTGTTTTTAACTAATATAAATATATAATAGTGATATGGTAATGTGCACCTGTGCTAGTCTCTGTTGGCTCTCAGTATCACCGGGGGCGACCAATGCCTGTTTGGCCTCCGAAATTAACACTGTCGAGCCATCCATGACCTCACGGGCAGAATCCAACATAGCTGAAGCTGTTGCTGGGTCAGACGTCGCTGCAGCCACACCCCTCGCTGCCTGTGCAAGAGTCTTTAGAGCCTGAGCAGTCTCTCTAGCAGCAACCCCTGTGGTTATTTTGCACATAAAAATACACATGGTTAAGAAGAGTTACATTCATATGTAAAATACAGGTTCTCAGCTGAGTGTGTGTTTATTACCTGTGTAATGTTCATTGCCCTGGGCAGCACAGGTAAGCAACTGAGCCATTGACGATCCAACAGCTTTAGAGGTACTGCCAAGGTCCTGGGCACATTTCTCTAACTACAACAAAAAACATGCATCCAAGCAGAGAAGCAGAGATTTAATTAAATGCCTTTTCATTCAAGATGCAAGCATAACCAATAAGGCTCCACTGACTGATTCTCCAGGCAGAGGCTTGAGCTGTTGCTTGATGGCAGCCATCTTGGCATCCTGGAGCTCGTTCCTCAGAGTCTGTACAGCAGTGAGGGCAGAGTCTATCTCCATTGAACCACAAGCTTCATAAGCCTGGACAAAAGAGGCAAAAAAACAAACCCTTAAGCAACACATTAACGCAGATAAATTTCATATTCGAACAGGCTAAAAGGGGTAGTCTGGATAATAAACCCAATTCACCCAAGGTCTAACTATGAAACCTGTTTGACTTTATTTCTGAACTGTTTTTGAAACTACAAAGAAGGGGAAAGAATTTACTTAGATTTAACCTAAGCCAGGACATTCTGGACTATGAGTGAACATTGTGGACAAGCATGGACTACTTCCCAAAAAAATGTCTTGTTTCAAAACAACGTGTCTTCAGCCTTGTAGCTGGAACTTGAGCTGACTGCACATGCATATATTAGGAAAGAAGGCCTAAAAGAGCACAGGTACCTTTTGGGCAGCGGTGCGGAGTTCTGCCAGGCTAGTGGCCAGGTTCTTAGCACACTGGCCCAACTGCATGGCTGCCGCCTGATCCCCCACTGTTGGGACAGAAGACTTGGCTGAGGCCACCATCTTACTGCCAGGCTAAACAGGAGAAAAACAAAAGGATTTATTACAATAAAATCATTTATCTGAATGAGATGAGGTGTTGTACACACAATAGTAAATGAAGCATAGGTTAAAGACAGAATGTGTGATGCTAGCTAGATCAGTGCTAGGGCCCTAGATAGAGAACTGGGTACCTGGAGGAAATTTTGGCTGGCAATAATGAGGGCAAGTTGGGCACTGCCATCTTCAGGTTGGCCCTGACTGTTCCGCACACCCTGCACCAGCTGAGGAATATGGTCAGCTACAGCCTAAACACAGGTATGCACACTTTAATGAACAGTAGCTTTAGTATTGTAGCAGTACTAGTACAGAAGTAGTATTGGTATCAGAGAAAATCCTGTCAAAAACACATCAATATGAACTGTACAGCCAAACACATCCTAATTATTGAGTTCAGGCGTTTCAGCCACAGCCACTTCTAACAGGTGTATAAAATCAAACACATAGCCATGCAATCTTCATAGACAAACACTGGCAGCAGAATAGGTCACACGGAAGAGATCAGTGACTTAAAACATGGCATTGTCATAGGATGCCACTTTTACCACTAGGCAGTTCATTAAATATCTGCCCTGCAAGACAGGCACAGTCAACTGTACGCCCTATTATTGTGAAAAAAAAGCATCTAGGAGCAACAACAGCTGACCACGAAGCAGCAGACTGCGCAAACTCACAGAGCAGGACCAGAGTGCTGAAGCCTATCGTCTATCCTCTGTTGCATCACTCACTACAGAGTTCCAAACTTCTGGAAGCAACATCAGCACAAGAACTGCATGTCAGGAGCATCATGAAATGAGATTCCAAGGCCAAGCAGCTGCACACAAGCCTTGCTGTGTGCAATAATAAACGTCAGCTGGAATGGTGTAAAGCATGCTGCCACTGGACATTGGAGAAGTGGAAACAAGTTATGTTCTCAGGTAATATGAATTACGCTTCACTATCTGGCAGTCTGATGGACAAATAAGGGTTTGGCAGATGCCAGGAGAACGCTACCTATTGGAGTGCACAGTGTCAACTAGGGGTGGGAATCTCTAGGCACCTCATGATTCGATTACGATTCAGAGGGCTGCGATGCGATTATAAAACAATTATCGATGAATCTCGATGCATCTTTTTTTTCTGTATAGCATTTATATTTTCTCACTGTGTGAGCTCAAGTTTCGAGTTCAAGTTTCAAGTTTATTTGTCATTTGCACAACATGTAGGACATTTATGCATTGAAATGCTTGCGGTGAGACACAGGTAATCACTCTACAGAAAGTAAATAAGTAAAAATAAAATACAAGAAAAACCAACTGAAATATATTAAATATACACAAAATATACACAGAATATAGAGACAATATACATTTTAAAGTGACTAAGTGACTCTGTGTTATTGTTATTTAAAGTGACTTGGTACTTTTAAAGCAAAGTATTTGTCATGATCCATAATGAATTTACTTCCAATATCTTTTTTAATAAAACAAATGAAAGTGATGTGGCAAGTGAACTAGAAGGTTCTCATTCAGTGCTCTTGTTTGGAGCACGAGAAGCTGCTGCTACTCATCTGCGATAAAATGCGCAGTTACAGTGAAATAAGATCCTGGGGTGATGGATGTCCACGCAGCACATGTTACAGCTATTCTACCCGTTTTCTTTAGTGATTTTATAACTTCGGTTTTGGTCTCATTGTAGAGACGGGGGGGATCGCTGTATCAGTAAAATATCTTTGAGACGTAACGTGTGCAACATAGCGCGAAAGCCCTGTTTCGCAACGATGGAGAACTGGCGTGCAGACTGCAGGTCACATAGCAGCGATACGTTATTCGCATTTATAAGCAGAGCAGTTGGTTTCCTGGTACGTTAAATCTGCAACGAGAGACTGTCAAACAGTAAAAAGTGGCGGAGCTGAAGTCAGCTTCTCTTTTGAATTTCCCCGTTCCACCTTAAATGGTGCCGCATGTACAAATCGGCACCTCAGTTAGAATTTAAGGTGGAATGGGTAAATTCGAACAAGAAGCTAGAGAATAAGAAGCGACTTCAGCCTCGTAAAACAGTCGAACATCGAGAGACATTTAACTGATCTACTTCTGAGGAAAAGTTTTCTGGCGGAAATGGGAGGAAAGCGGCTATAGCTAAAGCTTAAAGCAGAGCGAAGTAAATCTGCGTTTTTGTTTATATTTTTAACCTATTCTAGGACATTATCACGTACTGAGACATACTGGACACTAAATGCTGCGGCTCCCAAGGTGGTTTGATTTTTGTTGAAAGGACAAAATGTTAATATTTGGGTTGTGATTCCTGACCTAACCTGGCTTTTAATGTAGAGGGTGCCGGTCGGATTTCTCACTCATCCAGTGCTGTTTTTGTTATGTGCCGCCACAGACTGACCAGGCGCTGCACTTACCCACTTACAAGTTCCGCCTTTTGCGTTCCGTCAACATTACGTTATAAATTAAATATTTAGAAAATCGTTGTTTGACATTTGTGATTCAGAATCGTTCAGGTCCGCATCGCGATGCATCTAAGAATCGATTTTTTCCCGCACCCCTAGTGTCAACATTCAAGTTTTGTGGAAGAGGGATAATGGCCTGAAGCTGTTTTGCTTTTGGAAGCAGTTTTGCAGAGTTTGGGCTAGGCCCCTTAGTTCCAGTGAAGGGTAATGTTTATGCTATAAGATTTCATTATTCTTTATATGCTATAAGATTTCAAGTTTGACCCCAATTGACCATGAGATGACACTACGCAACAAAACGTCCTATTAATTGTAGCTGGGATGGGAATAAATGACTCCAAATCATACCTTACACTGAGACTGACAGTTTATCAAATACATGTTTTTTAATTTCTTTAAAGTCTAAAAAAAAGTCTTAAAAAAAGTTACAGTTGTACCATCAACTGATAAAATTTGGAAAATGGATGTTTTCTATGGAAGCATATCAGTGTCAAAATTAAAATGAAAATCTAATAAGCAAAATGGCAAAGGTCATGCTAAGTTTGAATTTAAATTTTTCATTTATACATGCAAGTTTGGGCTCAAAATGAAAATTCAAATTCATTAATTCCATTTATATTTGTCATCTGGTACACTAGTATTGACATTTCGTTTACACAGAGATTTACATGATTTTTGAGGAGCTTTATTTAAAGTTAAATGTATTTCCAGAACCTCCATGCCTTATTTGATTATGCAAAAATGGTGTCAAAATGATAATTAAAACGTAATTTAACTTATATGCATTTGCAGTCTCTAATTGTTTTTGAAACTGCAGTATCAAAGAGAACACCAAGCTAGAAAGATGTCAAAATTTAAATATAAATGCGAAACAATGTCTCCTATTTGCAATATATATTCTCACCTACTGCACTCCTTCTGCATCAAAGCATCTTTGAAAATTGCATTGCAGACTGCATTTTCATCTTTAGGGTCTTCCCAACCTGTCAATCATCCCATCAGGTTGGGGCCAAGAGCACGTGCAGTGGAAAAGGTTTTATCTGCACCATGGTGGCCGATCTTACATTAGAAGATGAAGTGAAACAGAGTTAGATATCCAGTTTGTGATGGTTACTATGTTTTTATACACGATCCACCAAGAACCTTTAATCGAATGTGTTAAAAGTTTTTTTCTGATTTAATAAGTGGCTATGGGTTAAAATTACTGTCCGTGTTAGCCGACCACAGGCTACAGATAGAGATTAATCCAGTATCGAAGTCTATCATCCAATATACACAGTGAGATTTGGATATATTGCTGTTTTCCACTTTACCTGTTATCAAAAATGTTACTCATGAAATGATTTAGTTTTAATTGTACTGGTACACATAAACAGGTGTAAATTACACAACTACCTTGTCATAGTGGCTGAGTTGGCAACAGCCACTGCACTGGGTTGGTACTGTGTCACTTTTTCAGTTAGGGAGTCTCTGAAGTCTTGCTTTTTTAATTTATTTTTTTAACTTAATATTACAAAAATCACTGGTATGTGTGTTTGACACTGGGCAGCTAGCAAGAAGGAAGTCAAGTTCAGCCTCGTTTTTATCAAACAGACTGATAAACCAGAAAACAGGGCCACACGTTCGATTAGCCACATTCTCAGGAGGTCATGTATAAAGCTGTTAAACATCACAAGTGTCTATATTTCTCTTCTTCACCTCATATGCTAACGTAAGAGTAGCTATAAACTCTTCGATGTCGCGTTTTTAGATGAACACAGAATGAACGCAGTAGTCGAGAATATGTAACTGCCAAGAGGAGAGGCCCTGTTTCCTAACTCTATTTGAATACTGACATCTTTCTAGCTCCCGAAAACTTTTGATGTTAATGAATACTAATAGTGGCTGGGCCCCATGCTTGCTGCTTGTGACTATATTTTTTATTTGATTTCAGTTAGGAAAGCATGAGTTAGTAAAGTATTATTTAACTAAAACTACTAAAACTAATGAGTCAATTTAAGTGTTGACCATAATAAAATTAAACAAGGTGAGATTTTTGTTTAACATCAGTTATAGAGTGCACAACCTACCTTGCAACTCTGAACCAGTTGTTGGTGGACAGCAGTATTCTTGTTGGAAGCTGCTGCATTCTGGGATGCAGCAATGGTCTGAGTGGCAGCTGCAGCAGCTTGTTTTGCCGCATTCTAAAAAGAGATAATGCATCTTTCTAAACCAATATTACCAGGCTTTAGTTTTATATAACACTTCTGCTTACCTAGAGGAATAGTGAAATGCTGCTATCTAGGCAATAACAGAAATGATAACAAAACTGCTGCCATATTAATCATAGCCAAAACAAGAGCTCAGTTGTTTTAACACCAACACAAATCAGAAACCACATACATGGACAAGACCACTGCCGGTCACATGCTATTTATAAAGCCAGTGCTAGTTCAGGAATTTAGTTTCTCAGCCCAATACTGACCTCTAGCTTGGTAATGAGTTTCTTTCTGATGGCATTCTGGGCAGCTGCATTGGTGGCTACGCGCAGCCCCTCTGCTGCCTCACGCAGTTTCTGCTGCTGGTCCTCATTCTCAGGATAAGCTGCTGCTCCCTGAATTATACACAATAAGGTTTCAGTTAATCATTCAACATAAGGTCTGTGGTTAAGTGTTCAGGGTTTGCGAATTGTCCTACTAAACCATCTTTTCTTTTTATCTACATGTATTAATGTGAGTGTGTTTGAGCACATCAGTCACTCTTTTATAACCTACACTGATCTATAAAATAGGCAGGTATGAGCATTGTTTTGTCCACTCAGTAATTATTTACTAAAACAGATGCTTCTGGCAAATGAGCATGTACAGTCATATGCAAAGGTTTGAACCCCCACCCTCCCCCACCGAAATAACAAGTGAAAACAAGTTAACAACATCTACAGGAAACCAACTTAAACATGCAATTTTTTTTGCCATGAACAACTTCTATTTACTTCTAAATTTCTATTTATTTGCCGAGTTTAAAATATTGAAAAAAAAAAATCTTCAAAAATCATTTTGATGGTACACTGATTTCTCTGTCATTGCCACTGCGGGCCCACAGCTCCTGCTAAATAACTTTAGAGGAGCGGGCACGAAACCTCTCGCAAGAATTGCGTGATGCTTTACAGAATCACAATCACACCAACCAACAACTGCAGGTTCAGCTAGCTATAAGAAGATAACTCGGTATTCCCAGCATGGATATCACGGCAGAGGCTGCAAAGAGACTGAAGAAGACATTGTCGGAGGAAGGGAGCAAGAGAAAAAGAGAGAGTGACTGAGCAAGAGCCTGGACAAGAGTACATCTCGAAATGGGTTTTACTTGTTAACGAGAAACAACAAAATATATAAAATATATATAAACCCCTGCCATTCTTATCTATTAAGAAATGCGACAGGCTGTAACTTTATCTGTGTGATCGCCATCTCATGGAGTTTTGAAGTATTTCCAGATGCCAAAAGTCATCTATCTTCAGGGCCGTTTCAGGCTAGCATGCAAAGAAATAAATTCATCTCATGCCAAAAGGTTTGGTCAGTTTTTGTCAGTCTCATACCATCCTATAAAATCCTGTTACATTACTCTACCTCGTAAGTTGACAGGGTCCTTTCTCTTGACTTGCCAGATGTTGTGCTGAACTCCATCTCACCAGCAGAACCCGACTACCGCGTACACGCACCTCACACAGGCTTATCGACGCTACAGATTACACTCGCAATTTCTATTATTTACACACAGAAACACTCAAAATCACGAGAGCAATCTGTAGTGTCCATATGCATGCATGACGCGTGTGCATGTGAAGGGGAGTTGGATTCTGTGTCCTTCAAATCGTAAACAAATGCATGTGTACTGCTCTTGATGAAGGGGCGCACAAAGTGCGATTTGTCTTTACAACAGTGGCATAAAAGTGAAATAAACTTTGCTGTAGAGGGATCCCAAGAGCAAAAAATCCCAATTCTTGCATAATGCAGCTTTAAAGTATAATCTCTTTATTAACAATAACTTTTCATCTCAATCCTTCTCATCAGGCCGGTACGTTTTCCAAGTTGCTAGCATTAAATATTACATATCTACTAAATAAAGTTACTGTGTTTGTCTTATATACCTTTGCAGCTTCCACCATGCGAGCAGTGGCATCGGCAAGCAGCTTGGCAGCAGCAAGGAGCTTCTTCGAGTTGTTCACATCGATCTCTGCCTCTGCATCTGACCTCATTGCATTGACCAGATCAGACGTGGCCTGAGCCAGCAACCGTGCCTGCTTCACCATCTCACCTGAGTGGACAGTGTGCCAGAGAGCACCTTTATAATTGTTTCATTTTCAATCAAATGCCCATTAAGTCCAAGTTAATCCCTTTTCAGTGACAGAACAAAAGCTGAATGTTAACAAATTTAACAGGAAAAATACATAGAAACCTCGACAACTTAATAGGATAGCAAATATTCTAGTATTTAGTGTGTCCACATTTTGGCTTCCATTTTTTTCAAAGATATCTGCAGGAATATTTTTCCATACTTCTAGACTAGAAATCCAAAGTTCAGTGTTATGAGTCAGTTGTTTTTTATTTTTCTCATCCTTTGACTCTACCCTTCTTATTCAAGTGGATTATACCAAATCTTTTCAGAAATATCTCCTTTTGCCATTTACATGCATATAAAAACAAATTTGCAAGGCAGCTGATGTGTTTTAGGGTAGTTGCATGTGTGAATGCTTGAGTCCTTTTTGAAGGGCAACACTGTCAGTGATACTTTTACAAAGACCTTTTGTTGTGAGAGAGCTGTAACTCCTTGGATTTAAGATTGAAAAGATGGGGGAATTAAGCAGCAGGGTGGACAAACTAAATACTGGTAGATTTGGAATTACACTTAAAGTTAGAGGCTAGCGTATACGTTTCTGAAAAAAATACTCATTTTGACTGGATATTGAATATCTAAAAGGGTGGTCTATGACTTTATGCACAGTATCGTATATCCAGGTTTAATGTAACAACAAATACACAGCTTGATGTTGAACAGAAGTATATGTGTGTGGCTCCCTCACCAGCATCTCCCATTGAACTGAAGATGCTTTCGGTAACAGTCATGATGGCATCTGTGGCCTGGTCGTATCGGCCAATTGGCTCACCACGCGAAGCATAATTTCGCACGTGTGTGAGGAGGTCTGCCAGAGTCTGAGTGACCACACTAGCGGCAGCACTGACCGCCTTCAGCAGCACTCCATCATCAGTGGCAGAGAGGCAGGCCTTCACACAGCCTTCCACTGAGCGGTCCACCAGTTTGCCTGCCTCAATCAGCTGCTCCTGACACACAGGGGAGCTGATAGTGGGGCTCACCACCTGCCACACAAAAATAGGACAAGAAGTATTACAATGCAATCCAAAAACAGCAGCAGTTCATTTCAATCACATGATTTGATCCAGAAAAATTAATGTTTGCTTTAAGGTTTGAAAAAGATAAAGCTATGGTTCTGCTGTCATAACCCCAAAGGTCAATCAGCCCAGACAAGTTTTGCACTGAATCTATGGGGCAAACTAGCATTGAAAGTTTGTAGCCACGAGACTCATGTAAACTGCACACCTTAATCATCATACTTACCTCAAGTTGTTTAAGGGAAATTCTGCAGATTTGTAAAAATTTCAGCATAACTGAATGTTTAAGATGTAAAGTAATTCAGAGTGTTTTGATATTAAAAAAAATGCTCCGTTCTGGAGAAACTCACCAAAACAGAATTTGTTCACAATCATAGTGATAGAAACCAGACTTCTGAAGAGTTTAATGGTTCTAAAAGCTACGACACAGAAAGCTATTACATGAAACAAGATATTGTTTTACAATAGTTTTGCAATAAGCATTTTGACTCAAGGTTATTAAAAATTCATTCATAGTATAGATACATGCAGGGCGTGTAAAGGCTAAATAGTCCTCAGAGAAAACCTTTTATCAGATTTGCTGCTATTTTACCATTGTTAACTTTCTACATATAAAAACTCAGGTTACTGTACTGTAGATTCACCAGTGGTTTTGGATAGTAAACAAAATGGCTATATATGCACTGACATCATGACCCCGTTTCCTATCATCATTACCACTGTAAAGAAATCTGAGTCAGTGAGTCAGTCTCTACAATTAATCATTTCACATCAAAGCACTCTGAATGTTTATGATTGAAGAAGAAGAGCTATATTTGGGAGTAAACAGACTGTACCTTAGCACAGGCCACTAGCTGTGAGGTGGAGAGGGCACACTGGGTTGCCGCTGCAATGACCCTGTTCTGCAGGACTGTATCCTCAGACACCTGGGCTACATTCTTAGCCTTTAGGACCATCATGGCTGCTGCATTAGCTACAGCCTTAGCCAGATTCATCAGAACATCCTGGAACAAGCACACACCGGGTGACAATTATGTACACACACACACACACACACACCACACACACACACACACACAAAAAGATTACAAGAACAAAAATGAGTACCTGAAACCTCTCATCAGTTTCATTCTCTCCAATCTGCCGGAGAAGGTCCCCACTTGCTTGACCAATACTGCCAGCAGCAGTCAACACTGTCTGCCTAGGCTGTAGAACAGAGCACACAATAATACACATAAACATATACTCCAAGTCATCATTTGCCTCTGCATTTAAATTACTTCTTTATTAGTGCCTAAAAGAATCCACCTGGATTAACAAGGGTAAAAAAGATTAAAAAGAAAATAAAGAAAAGGGGGAAAAAAACAAAAAAAAAAACAGCAAACAAAGGCCTTACACTTTTTCACCAACAAACGTCTCACTCACCTCTCCTGAGGCAGGCTCCACAGCTTTAAGCAGATCGGACACAGCCCCAGTTAATGTCCTGGCAGCCCTCATCAGGTCCTGACCACTGCCCACCTCATCCTCCATCAGAGCTGCCAGCAGCTTCACACCCTTCGACATCTCGGTTAGATTGGACGATATAGTCGTGATAGCACAGCCTACTGCAGTGTAGTCTGTGTCTGTTGGGTCACCTAGGAGTTGTAGCAGAACCACAGGTCATAATTCTTAATTCCTACGAATACACTTACTGGCCACTTCATTAAAACCCAATTGTAAGTTTTACATTAATTAAATGTGTCAATCATTACCCACTTAGGACATCCTTATGAACAATATTATATCTTTAAAAAGACCAAACCAGCTTCTAGAGTTAGTATGTCATTAGTTTGTTTATTTGTTTCTTTAGAAATTTTCTTACCCGCTGTGAGATTGACCACAGAGGCAGTACCAGCAGTGATGGCGCCCACCTGTGAGTGAATCTCATGTTTGGACTCATCCACTTTGTTCTGGATCCATACTTTGGAGGCCTGAGAACACGGCAAGAAGAAGGTGAAGACAACAGGAGGACACACACACACACACACACACACACACACACACATATATATATATACATACAAACACACACATATACATACATATATATATATATATATATATATATATATATATACATACATACATATATGTGTATATATATATATATATATATATATATATACACACATATATATATACACATATATACATACATATATATATATATATATATATATATACACACACACACATACGTGTGTGTGTGTGTGTGTTTGTCTGCGCATGTATGTATGTTCGTGCATTCATGTGCATGTTTTCTTACCATATCGTTTCCCAATGGAGGCAACTCCTCTACTTCCTCTAGGTCTGCCTGAGCTTGCTGCACTGCCTGCATGCTGGTGTTAATGGTCCCCACCAGAGCTTGCTGGGCTGCACTCTGACAAGAGATACAGACAGACGAAAAACAAAAAAATGCATTTTGCTTTCATCAAATTTTGATTGGTTTTTAAAGGGGAATTTTGCAGGTTTGTATAAATCCTCTTTGTAATCCAATCACTGAGATGTACAAAAAGCCAATCAGAGAGGTCTGATGTGAAATTGTTTTTTTTTTACGGTGGTGGTGATAGGAACCAGGTGTCATGATGTCTACAGTGTAAATTTAGCTACATAATGACAAGTGAACCTATACATGCATTCTGAGTTGATAATTGTAAAACAGTGGTGAAAAAGAACATTTTTCAATGCAACTCTTGTACCTTGCTGTTTCTTATGGATTTTAAGAAATTGCGTTATGCCAAGACCTTCTCAAAACCACCATGAAACAATGTCTCAGGCATCAGGCAACATATTAGTAACCACTGTATGTAATAACTTTTTGTGAGGTAGCTTTCAAAGACTTTAAATGCTTTGGACGTGTGGTTCTGGATGTCTGGATGTCCACAAAGCAGACCTTGGTGTGTTGATTGAAATATTCCTGGGATACAGTCAACATTCATGTGTTAAAAAACTAATTATTAACTAATAATAACTTGATCAAATTCAACCCCGTGAGACATTCTGAATATTATCCATTGTACCTAGAAACAGGAACAGTTCTTATTTTGGTTATTTTTTGTATACATTTTGTGTGTATGTTGTGCTCTTACCAGTGGTGGCATGTGCCCGAGGTGCATCTGTCCAGTTGTGATCTGTTGTTGTGGTGATGGCATGGTGCCCACATTTAGAGTCTCTGGGCCAACTGAGCTGGTCCTCAAGACACCGGGTAATGCCACTGACCCATGCTCTGCACGGCCAACTCGATTAAACTGCTGCTGTAGAATAGTGGACCTTAAGGGGGAGAGAGAGAGAGAGAGAGAGAGAGAGAGAGAGAGAGAGAGAGAGAGAGAGAGAGAGAGACATCTGAACTGATCAGATCAAGACACAGGGTACATTTATTATTAATTTAGAACACAATTGGTATTCATGTGAAGTTCAATATTAGTTATTTTCACTTGAGATAGAGAGAGACAAACAGAGAGACAGATACAGAGAGAGAGCACAAAAGACAAAGATATAGCAAGAGAGAGGAAGAGGGAAGGACCGAATCACAAATCAAGACAGGCTATATTTATTATTAATTTAGAACAAAATTGATATGAATGTGAAATTCAATACAAATCTTACATTTTTTCAATATTCAATATTTGATATTATCAAGTAAGTGAGAAAAGTAATCATATATATATACACACCAAAATATACTAATAGATTAATTTACTGCAGTGTTACTGATGCAAGTTTAAAACTCCATGGTTTCATGCTTCACACAAGTTTAGAACAGTGCCATAGAAAAAGTGACCAGATGGAAAAAGTACCTCTAAACAGGTAACCGGAGCTCCACTGAGATTACATTCATTATTTTTTCAGGGAGAGATAGGGCAAGTGAAAGAGAATCAAAGGGAAAGGGTCCAAGAGCGAAAGAAAAAGAGGAGGGGAAAGATAAGGTTGTTGTTTTCTGCTGTTATTGTTTTTTTCTGCAGCGGCATTGGCAATATCTGATTATGGATGTGCTTTCAGAGTTAATTTGTTGCAAGTATGAAAGGAAATACTGCTGTTATCAGCACTGACTGAAGAGAATTCTGTTTTGTGTGTGTGTGTGTGTGTGTGTGTGTGTGTGTGTGTGTGTGTGTGTGTGTGTGTGTTGCATACTTCTTTGGAGAGACTGATTCCTCTAGCATGGTGGCTTCTTCATCACCTTCCAAGCCAAAGCGATCTTTACTCTGTTTCTGGAGAGTAAGGTATGATATGGCCAAACATGTAATCACATTTGTATTGATGCATTTGTACAAATACTCCACATTCTCAAAACACTCTTACTTTGAGTACTTTGATTACACTATATCCAGCATTACTCCAGAAACACATCTTGGGGCTGAGATCAACGTAAATAGTAGCGTTTCATCTAGGATTTCATCCTAGATTACAGCCTAGATTACAGCCTAGATTACATTTTTAGCTTGGAATATTTTGGGTTTGGAAACTTTCTTTTTATGATAAAAGGGGGGTTCAGAATATGTTTTTTAGAATTTGGAAAAATAATTTTCAAAAGGAAAAAAAAATCTCCCAGAGGAAAAGCTCTCTCTGGCTGTCTCTGACTCAGATTGACAGACTGTTTACTTTTCTGTAACTATAGGAGCCATAGGGTATTGCTAGCCAACTACAAACCTGAGTTCTGGCAAAACCCATTTGATATCTGGTTTGTTCTTTAAAAGACATAATGACAGAAAATATACACCAATTTCTAACTCGACACTACCTATAGTTCCCTTCAATATATCCTGAATTCACAAAAAAAAACCCACATTTCAGCATCACACAAGGGTAGCGTGAGTAAAGTACATGCAACTCTAAGCCCAACTACAATTGCTCTAACTGACTTTCACAAAACTGCTTCAAGAGGGTATTTCAGTTCTTTTTTTCCCACCCTTTCTTTTGTAATAAAACAGTTTAAAACCTGACTACACAAACAGCACAGCTGTTTAGAACTATGGATAGCACAAATGCGTGTTTTGATTTCTAAGGAGCTTGTGCTACACTCAAATGCTTCAGAAACAAGTCTTACATGAATTGGCCATCATTCTGTCAAACCAAGAAAACAAAACTGAAAGCAAAAGAATATGACCGATCTAGAGCAGTATCTTTCCAACATTTAAAAGGCTCACATCATGGCAGCTGAATTTTCCTCACTTTTTTGAAAAAGATGTGACATATAAACAGTTACAAAATGCATCAGTCACTCCACCAGTCCATTCAGTCCATATAGCTGTAAAAATCATGTCACAAAAACCATCTAATGCATTAATCTCTGCCTATATGGTAAACAGTAGTTTATCTCAGCCTATACATGCTGACGTTACAAGGAGTTTTACAACCCAGACTGCGTTTTGAATGAGACACAATACAGAGTGGGCAATCATAGAAGAGCTCATTTACATACGACAATCTTAAAAGGAACAGTAACAAAAACAGCCTGTTCACAATTCTTAAATAAAGAATTATGACTGCTTTTGGTACATAAACACACAAGTGTGATAAGTGTACCTCAGGGAAAAAAAAAATAAATAAAAAAAATTAAAAAAAACACAGAAAAGAAGGAGGATATGGGCCCCTTTTAATACCGTGTTGTTGCAATAAAGACATAATTGAAGTTTCTGCTGACCTTTTTGAGGATGATGTCAATGTAGCCAGCGATGAGCTGGGAGATTTGCTCCCCCTCTGTGGTCTGGACTGAATAATAGCTTTCCTGATACTCTCCAAAATCCTACAAAAAGAACAACACCTTAAAACAAACAGTATCGAAACATTTTGAAGGGATGTTTTTTTGGAACTATTGTGACAATTTGAAAATGTTCTGCTCTCACTTCATGGACTTTGAAGTGCATGTGTGTGTGTGTGTGTGTGTGTGTTTGAGATTAGTACCAGAGTAAAGCTCTTAGGAGAAGCAGCCCATCTCTTGACTGTGGTAAGGGGCCACTCCTGCAGCACCTCTTTGGTTTTCTCATCCACTCGCATCACTGATTCTTTGGTTATGCCCAGCAAACGAGGCACCAGCTTATTCTTGCTCTTCATCTTCTCCTGAAAAACAAAGCCAGTGGAATACATTCAGCATAATTTATTTACTACACAGGAACATACACACATCTGTTTTTCATATTTTGTATTTATTTATAACTTATATATAGTATAGTAATAACAGTAATCTTAAGATCAGTAACAAACAAAATGGTTTTGCCCTTTCAGCTTTAGAGAAAGTTCAATTTTGTGTGTGAAAAGCACTTTAAAAAGTTAAGACCACTTTGTAGAATAGCACTATTTTTCTGTGGTCGTCCGACAAAGTCAGGACATTTTAGCTTTTACTGGCAGGGAAAATCAAGTGATATTTGGCTAAAAACCTCCAGCTCCTTTTCAGATCCAATACCCACATTCCACTGTCATCCCCTCTTCCTTCACTTTCCTTCATAAAGTATGACCTTTCAGTAGCTACAGAAGATGGGCTTAGCTGTGCACTTTAAGCTATGAGTGACTTTCTCCCTCTCCAAAAAGCATCAACCTTCCACTACCACCACAGATGTGCCTGGCATAACAAAACAAATCACATCTAAAAACATGGATTTGTTGTAGGGAAGAGAAATTCTCACCATGTTAGTATTTAACAATGTAGATACCTTAAGGACAAATGAAGTGACAACACAGAAGAAAAAAGAACTTACCACAAATTAAATTTCATTTTTTTAATATCTCTTTTTCTCTCTCGTTTTCATAGTGTCATTGTTAAAACTCAGGTGGACTGTTGTTGTCCTGTTAGCCAAAATATTTGGGGCCCAAGCACTTTTTACTAATAGAGGATGCTAGAAATCATTTACAAGAACATTTCACATAACTGCAGTTTGCACAGAAACATATAGCAACTACATTTCATACAAATCAACAAAGATTTGCGTAATTTGTTAGTAATTATACTGACTGCTTCACACGCTCTGTTGTTATATTATTTTCCACCAGTCCGTAAAATTTTAAAACAAGTTATTCTCATTTATTAATGAAAGGTCACCAGTTTTCAAGTGCTATTTCACAGTAACCTGCTGCAGCATGTTTCTTGATGAGTAACATTTGCATATTGGCTGAAGACAATCATGAAACCGTTTCAGATCCTGTTCCAGCATTATGTGACCAACAATTCTTAAAAATTATTCAAAGTATAATTAAATTCATTACATATTTTATTTTAGTCAGGAACACTTGCAACAAGCTAAGAACTCTGCAATTAAAAGTTTGCAAACCATTTGGAATTATGTGCATTTCTGCATGAATGAATTCTGAAATGTGATCTGATCTCCATCTAAGCCCTAACAATATCTAAACACAGTTATTATACACAACAACTTAAGTACCATGTCTTTACTGAGCAAAATGTTTAAACAATCAATAGAGTAAATATTGAATATAGTAAGCTTAAATATAATAACTAGTGGGACCTCCCTTCATTGCCAATGACCTAAACCAACTTTCTGTTCCAACCAACTCAACTGTTTCTGTTCCAACCAACTCAACTGTCCTGCACAGCAGTTAGGATGCATTTTGACTTCTCTATAACAGAACTGTTTCATTGATATTTTTAGGATGTCTTTCTTGAACAGCCTGCTTCAGACCACACCACATTTCACTGTGACTAAGGACAGGCCTCTGACTTGGTCATTCTGAAATACAGAATAAAACTTAGAATTCATTGGTCTATTAATGACTGCAAGCTATCATGGCCCTGAGGTAACAAAGCAGCCCCACAACAACACACTTCAGATCTAGGAAGAGGTTTTAGTGTTGGCATTCGGTGATTTTTTCTCCAAACATAATGCTGTGTGTACTTACAAAAAATGGTTAACTTTTTTGCTGTTAAACATGAAGCTGGTCCTTGATGATTTTCAGATCCATTTTTTTTCTTATTGTCTTTTTCTATTTTGTGAGCAGTGGTTTCCTCCATGGTTACCTCTTGTGAAGCATGAGCACCAATTTCTGTTCAGTGCTTCTTTTGGTAGACTCTTAAACACAGGCTGTTAGACATAGCGTAAGGGGTAGGCCAGGGTTCTCTGTAACTTGTTTCAGGACTCTACTGTCCTCTGACATTTCCACTACTAGAGAGAGCAGCTTCTTCCATTCAAAAAAAAGCTGCAAATTTCTTTCATTCGTCTGACTGTGACCTGACAGGAGTCCCAAATCTTTAGATACCCTTGCAGTCATATTCAGTTTTAATCATTCAAACCATTTCTCAAAGGAAACTACAGCAATGCAAAATGCTGTGTTGTGTGACAAATAAGATCACAGGACTAAAGTAATATTCGGACATACATGAGGTAATGTAATTTTACCACAAGATGTCTGGAATTTAGTGTTTCAGTGTTCAGAGTTAGGTCAACAGGCAGGCAAAGACATATCGGCCACAGAGAAAGTAAACGCTTTTTCGAGTACCTCCATACTTAAGAAAATCTGTGAAAACATCTTTTCCACAAGATATGATAGAATATTTACCAACATTAATAAGATTAATATAAGCTTCAATAATTTCTACAGTTCCATTTTAGAGCAGATAAAAACTGACTAGAATCTTTACTGAACTGGATGTGTGCAGTCCATAATAATTACTGTCATGGTGGATTTGGGCAGGACTAAAATCACTGAGAAACACCAGTAATAATTATGTAACTCCACCTTCCCCTATAAAACGAATCCCATCTGAACACAACTTAAGTCTTTATTCATGACTCAGATGGAGATCAGGTTACATTTTAGGAGCTATTTATACAGAAATCCTCAAACAAAGTGAACTTAGTTCATATATAAATGAATTAGAAAAGCTCCCATAAATGAGAATGTGAGGTGAATTTGTGCAAATACATGAATACCAAATCACACTATGTTGCACAGCAAAACATTTAAGCAGAAGTAGAACACAATGAAATGAACATGCTTTTAATCAAAAACATCACTTTTAGTGATTGGACCCCTCAGAAGGAAAAAGAAAAGGGAAAAGAAACAGTGACAAAGGGACAGAAAGGAATTCTGGAAGGTGAATTCTTCTCAGATGATGAAAGCTTACATAAGAAGGCAGACAGGCCACATGCAGACAAAAGGAAGGAAAAATGGAACTAGATGGAAAAAAAAGCCACACACACCCACCCACTCACCTTCACCAGGAAGAAGGAGACTCCATAAGTTCTGAGTGACCTGGCCAGTTTCACATACTTCACTTTGGCTTCGATCTCTGTCATTTCACCACAAGCCTTGTGTTCCTATTAGATTCACACACAATTTCACCCAGCAAAATATTAATCTACTGCACATTAATTACTGACTGAAAAATATCCCCAAAAACATCTACATAATATCTACATAGTGAACAATAGTCCACTTCTCAAATTATTTCCAATAATGAACTCTTGCTGCAAGATGCTAAAATGAGAATACAATTAATGTGTAGCAGAATTACAGTTCAGCTAAATATTAATCATAATTTTAAATTTGAACACACCTGAAAGATTTTCTTCTCAGCCCCTCTCTGCTTGATGTATTCTTTAGGTAGGAACTCTTTCAAGCTTAAAAAAAGAATGTGGATTTCAGGCACACAATATTGCTTATACATGATCTGTTTATTCTTAGACACCAAAATATATATATTACAATGTTTCAAGTCATGTAAAACTTTTGTTGGCTTCCACTGTTAAACTGTCAAAAATGTTTAAAACACTAAAACTTTCCAAAAAAGCAATAGGAATAGCTAGTTTTGCATATAAATTGCATACAGCTGAAGAAGTGTATGTGAGCATGTGGCTTACTCCAGGAATCCAACTTTGTGCTTATGTTCTATGTGAGGGCCGAACTGGATCTGTGTCTGGATGCCACCAAACTCGCACGCCTTATCAAACGAGACAGGGTGAGAACCATTGAGAATGTCATCACGAGCCTGTGGGGGGCGGCGGGGAAGATAATAAATGATGAGGTTCATCAGAAGTGGTTTGGGCGGACTCTGTTCTCCTGACATTAGAGGTGCCAGAATTATGACTACAAAACACCAGATACAGGGATGGCATATGCTCCTTAAAGAAATGCTCCAGCGTTTTTCTACCTAATATCCATCTACCCTTGAATATAATAGATACTAATTTCAACGCCCTTTCTGTACTTATAAAAGAACAGAAAAAACATCAAAAATCAGTTTTACTGTAAGTCGAAACTCACTTATAAAACAAGCCAAAGAGCAGTTGCGGAATTCGGAAAATAAACATTTAAAATTTTCAGGGCAAGTGCATGCATGCACACAGTACATAAATATTAAAAAACAACCTATAACTAAAAGGTGAGGGGCCAGACCTGTACATAGAGCAGATTAAGCTGGACCGGGTCCCGAGAGTCCACGTTCTGATCAGAGTAGAAAAACTTCCTCCTCAAAAGCAGAGTCTCACTCTCTTCCACTCCCTGCTCTCGAAACGTACGCCCATGATCCAGCCAGTTCACTGGAAAAAAGACAGACGTAGAAAGACAGTCAGAGAGACAAAAAGAAAGAGAGAGAGAGATGCAACAGGAAGATGAAATGCTATGTTATTGAAATTATGTGCATTTCAACACATTAAGAAGCCATTTAGCCATTTGTAAACTGTAATCGTTAACTTTCCCTTAAGGCATTACATATTCTGTCAATACATAGTAACACCAATACTGCATTAGACATGTTGCCTACATTCATCATCTGTGTGCAGTTTGGCTTTGAGTTTCTCCATCTTTCTATCATCCCTCAACAGAGTTCTGTCTTTCCTCAGTGTGCCCATCCCTTCTTCCTTTTTCTCCTCCACTTCCTCCTGAATCAGGGAGTACTCCTCGTAGTTTGTGATTCCTGAGTTTCAAAACACAAAAGGAGAAATGCATTAGACCTCTATGTAGTGGTGGGTAATGTGGCAAATAACTTCACCATCATGATACCTCAAGACATTTTTACTATAAGTTATGTCACAATATTTACACAATAAATCCAGTTAAACAGGACTAAATATGTTCAGTTTATCATTAAACTTGCAGTTGTTCAGCTTTCTTTAAGTACCAATGATATTCACAATATGTTCAGAAATGCATATTGTGACTATCACAATTATGACAAATCTTGTCGTTCACCAATTCCCACCTCTGTGCGCCTGCTTTTGTGTGTTTTATTCTGCGTTGTTCTGTGTTTATCACCTATTCTACTGCAGATTGTGACAAGAAGCTCTCCAACTGTTTTAGAGTCGTCCACCATTATGGTCTTCACGGCACCGTCCAGCATTTTAATCTTCTGTGGTCTTTGCTTTTTCTTATATTCGAGGATGTCCTGACAGAGACAGAGACACAGACACAGAGAGAGAGAGACACACACACACACACACACACACACACACACACACACACACACACACACACACACACACAGAGAGAGAGAGAGAGAGAGAGAGAGAGAGAGAGAGAGAGAGAGAGAGAGAGAGAGAGAGAGAGAGATGTAAAGAAACACAAAACAGGAAAAACAAAAGTGAGTCACTGAAATGTAAAGACAGAGAAAAACAGAAAATAAGAAATACGAGAGCAAGTGAGCAAATGACCGACCGAGAAAGAGAAAAACCAGACAGAGTGAGCGAGAGAGACAAAGAAAATCATACAAAATCATCTCCCAGATCAAATACCACACAACAAACAGAAGACAGAACTTGTGTATGTGAAAATCAAAATCAAATTGTCTTTTAACTATTAAAAAATGAAAAGCTGCTTCTGAAAGCTTCATTCACCACTCATTCAACACACACACACACACACACACACACACACACACACAGCATCCCATACATCTGTCACTCATTTCACAAACACCTCAGAGAAAAAAAAGGAAGCAAATGACAGCGCACACACACGAACACACATACACACAAGTGAGGAGCTGTCAAGGAAGATTGCACTAGAATTTTTTTTTCTAATTTCTATCTGCCACGTTTATATCGTACCACAGACAATTTCAACGTTTGCGTGTACTCAAAAAAAATCACAAACTTGCTGATCCAAAATTTCTATTATAACAGAAGCCTTCAGACAGTTGCTACATTTCATGCATGAACATTTGAAATACTTAAGCTATAACTAAGCAAATGTTCTATTGCTTTTCTAACTCTTTCAGCTGCAGTTGTTTGAACCATCCTGAAGCATGAATGTAAGATTCTTATCAGAATTTACAGTTTCACCTTAAATGGTGCAGCAGTTACATGCTGTACAGGTGCCAGAATGTAACTATTGCTACAATTAAGGTAGAATGGAAAATCTGAACAAAAAAGAAGCCAAGTTCAGCCAAAAGTCTGAGACCACTTGAGAAAATTTTTTCTAATTTAATATAAAGTTTTTCATTACAAATTAAATTAGCACAAAAAAATCTAGTGAAAAAGAAGCAGAAACTCTAAAATATTTACAAAAAATTCAGAATTTCAGTGGAGTGTTTATCCCACTTTTGCTTTAATGACTGGTGCACACAAGGGAATTTTACACTTCAACTTACTCTTTAACTTTCCTTTGTTTTACTTTTTTCAAAAACATAATTTTCTTTTGTTTACTTCCAGGTTTAAATGAAAAAAAAAATCCAGATTTTCAATGTCGTCTCTGACTTTTGGACCTCAACATAAACGTGTAGCCATATTGCCCACTGATAGGAGTTTCACATTTAAAAACAGCAAAGGCAGTTTGTAGTCAAAACTAACTGCGGTATAGTCAGAAATAACTGCTGCATGCCTTGTATACTACATAATTAAACATTTAAAACTTCTATGTTATATGGTAAGCACATAGGTCTTAGGATGAGAAAGACATGAGAAAATGTTAAGTGTTTCTCCACGTCATCAGATGCTGTGAAAACTCATTACACTGGTGATGTATTACCACAAATTCTTATTTCCTAGACAACTGCACCTATTCTGAAAGAATGAATAATACAGATTTACAGCTTAATTTACAAACATTCTTGACTGAAAAATTAATGAACGTGTTCAATGTAATTTATCTCCTTCGCATAAATGTTGATAGCAACTGCTCAATGGCTTCAAATACAAGTCAACAGGTGTTCTGTACAGAGAAACACATTAAAATTATTGACTGTGGTAATCAAGCATTTATTACAGATGCAGCAGCTATCAATTTGTTTGGAAAAAAAAACTAGATAATTCCTTAAATTGGTTGCAAAAACAGAAACAAATCTGTAACAGCACAGCAACACAGGTAAAGGTAAAGGAAACAGAACACCTAGTTGTTCATGTGCACATGCCCACACAAACCTCACGGCTTACCCCATTTCTCAGCATATAGTAGTCCAGCGTGCATCCGCCGTCAAGCCAGATACCTTTCCGCGGGTCCTCGTCTGATAGGAACAGCCCATATTCTGATGCTGTAACACAAACTGACCTTTCAAAATCCTCAACAAAACACTTACCGAACAAAGACAGGCACTTCGCAGCAAACACAAAACACATTACTGTATTAATGTAATGTTTCTGCTCACCCTGTCCAGTCTGAGCTTCCGGAACTCTCTCTCTAATGACCCGGCACGCATCATACACGGCTGTGGCCGGCTCAAACTGCATAGTCTTCACCACATTGCACTGCCTCACGCAGATCTTCAAAGATAACACTACCATCCTGCTGCCTGAGGGACTACACTCACTCTGCGTCAGAGAGTGGGGAAGAGAAAGAGTTCATACACCTTGATCATACACATTGGCCCTGTACACAGCCAATTATGCTCAGAAACTGAATGTACATACATTTTACTGATAGTTTTATAAATTGATTTCTTCTTTGTCCAATCTTTATACAATCAAACTCAGATGGTGTGTAAATTTGAGCTTAATTTATTAAAAATCTTCAATATTCCTTTGTGGTTAGATAATCAATTTATTATTAAAATATCACTAACAACTAAAATAGAAAATAATACTAATAGCTTTTGGAGCATGTATCCAGCAGAAATGCAAACACCACCATCAGGTAATTCAGTTTGAATACTGTCAACGACAATGAGCCTGCTGGATGCTTTCTTCTTAGTGACTCACTGTTGTAATGGTTCAGATAAATTGGGGTGAGTCATAAATAAATTAACTCGATTAATCTGTCCTACTTAGTCATTATGAGTGGAAAAACTAGTCATACATTTTGGGAAATTATGCAAGACAAGCGAGAATGACAGAAGAAATCTGCTTTTGGCACTCAACCAAGCCATATGGGTGTTTTTTCATTCTGGTATTCTCTCAGAGATTTCCTTTCAAAGTGAACAGGCACCCAGTGAAGGTGATTCGGATCAGACATCACAATTCTAGAATCTGCTGTGTGCATGTGTGGACCTTTGGATCTTCTCTTTAAAGCTTGTTCAAAAGCAATAAAGAAGAAGTTTTATCAAAAAAACAAAGATGATGTTGCTTCCACATAAAAGAGTATAATGTGGGGTGGGCAATATGACTATATTTTGGATATAGTCAGTACCAACTGCATCCTGACTGACTGGATGTAGTGCAGATTTAGTGAAACGCTGAATAAAAAGTGCTATCCTGAAGCAACTTTGTTCTCAAGTCCACATTTAAGCTTTATCATTTGGCAGACATTCTTATCCAGAGGAGACCCACCAAAATATGCAATGGCATAATGCTTTATAAAAAAAAAACAAAGAACAAAAGAAATCGATAACGGAACTGTTTGCTATGTTGACAGACATAAATAAGTAGACAGAGACTGAGAGATGTAAAGTGCAACAGCTGTACCAAAGCAGAACCCAAAATAAATTCTGTGGCCACTGAGCAGCCTGAAGAATTACCTACAGCTACTGCCCATCTGTCTGTAATAGGATATGACAGAGTGTGGGGAGCTGAAGGAAGCATGCAGAAGTGAATGAGGCTTGACTTTGCCGTTACGTGTGTGTTTGTGTGCACGGCCAGAACGCCAGAGAGTGATCCAGTCCAGGGCAACTAGAGACACCATTCAATGCTGTAAGATTTTTCCTGAAGAAGAGAAAAACTACTATTTAACATATGACTACATAAATTATTATTATCAATATCCGAACTGTAAGTGACAAATTACATTTACTCTTGTTACTGTGCTTGAGTACAGTTTCCCTGTAACTGTACCTTTTGTACTTTTACTCTTACTAGAGTTCATTTTTAATGAAATACTTGTACTTCGCTACTTTAATTTTTAATAATGTTACAGAGTAAAAATAAACTATGAGCGTATCAGCTCATAAAACATTAAGAACGAAGCGTGTTAAATTTAAAAGATTCACCAAACAAAAAACAGCAGCTCTGGCAGGAAAAACACTAAAGAGATGTCCAGTTTAGTGGAGAAGGACAGAGGAGAACTTAACCAGCACACACGAGGAACAGACCGTGTCCACACAGCCATCTGTATTCATTTTCACAGGAACTAAAGATAACGGGATATTATCAGCAGCCAAACGTGAAACCTGCTGAGATCTCCGCTTTCATAACTCGACTCCAGCCAGAGGCAGAAAAAAAACCCAACCAATTATTCATGGTCCATTTAAAAGCTCTCCATCCAAAATTTTGTTTATATGCTTAAAATGGCACATTTGGGACACTGTCACTTACCATAAGCGAACAAAAGCCACGCATTATGCACGTTTCCACATACTAATCACAGTTTGACAGCCAACAGGCGGCTAATAAGACTTGCCCAGCTTACTTCTCCTGGCTAATATGACCACAAACTCAAGCACACAAAAACTAATCAACACATTTTGGTCTACTACCACTTCAACTGGATCTTGTAGGAAGCTATTCATCAGAGAGCCACCAGCTGAGCACAGTCTGTAGCCACAGGCTTGTCTGTCTCACCCACTGTTACAACTTCCCTGCTGTCAGGCTCCAGAACCACCAATTTAGCTCAATTTTGTCATCTGAAGTTACCATGGTGACAAGGGGCTCAGTGCATTCAGATCTGTCGCTACACACAGTAGACTTTGTTAGTTCAGACTTCAGCCTAGCATCAAACTGGACATAAAATGTGTGTAGATAAATGAAAGGTAAAAAAATGAAAGGAGGCATAAGCTTCCTTTATGGCTGAGGTTTTAACAGCCCTGGACACCAGCAGGTCTTCTCAGCTGTTGAAGGAAAAACAGAACTAGTCAGCATGGCTGATGTGTAAATTATGCAAATTATTATATATATTTTTTAACACATAGATTAATAAATAAATAAAAAAAACACACAAATATTGTGTGGATGTTTGGATAAATGATGGCATCACACAATTCAAATAATAAAACAACATAGGTGATCATTAACCATTTTACATCAACAGTTTAATATAGTGCAATATACTGTAGAATGTCACAAACACAACATCTAGCAAGTCATAACACTGTCTCTGTTGTATGCTTTTTAAACGACCACAATAAAAGCAGGATTAAAAAAAGTACTAACAAGTAGACTTAGTCAACATTAGGGCTGCACGATAAATCACATTTTTATCGTTACTGTGAAGATCTCATGAGATACGACTTTCATGATTTTCACGATCGTTAAGAGCTGCAATGACGGAACAGACAAAAGTACCTCATACAGGCAGTGCCAGAAAGACGTCATTACATTGCCGGTGTTCTAACAAATTGCCCTACCTTGGACTACCTACCTAGATTGTTGATGCTGGCGTCTTAGTGACATCATAAGTGAGTGGTTTGTTTAATTGGCACTATTTAGTGGGCTGGTGGCTCGAAAGCTATGAGCAAGCTGGGGAAGGCTGTGTGCCAAAATAAACTGTGCTTAATCTGAGAGCTTAATAAATATTTTGTGAAGTACACTGTGCTGTCTGAACTTTTGCTTTAACTCCCTTTTTTGGATTCAGCTCATTGTAAGTCATTTGCTATGCAAATAGTACCCTGATTTTTTTTTGTTTTGTTTCTTTTACTTTAAATGTTAGCCATGAATATAAAACAAGAAAAAAAGTCTTATTGGCAGAACAGAGAAGACGACCAGCTGGAAAAAAAGTACACACTGATATGTGTAGTGGTGTGTGCGCGCAACTCTAAAATGCTATGCACTTTTTGCTAATGTATTAATGGAGCAGCAAGGTAATTAGCCTAGTTTAATCTGTTAATGATTGTGCTGGAAATGGAACAAATTGGAGGCTTATGAATCTCTCCAGACAGTTCCTCTCAAATAGTGTAGATCTGTAAATAGAAACTTGTGTTTTACAGTTTCCAGGTTGCCATTATGTTATGAGATTACCTAAAGCCAAAAGACTGTTAGTGTTTTTGAGTTGTGTGCATGTATGTAGGTAATTGCCTCTTCCATGTGGCTTTCTGAGCACTAACACTACTGTGAACATCTGTGGTGCAGCTGCTTCCTGAGCCACTAAAGAGGTCAAAAAGTCAACGTCACTTACTCCACATCAAAAAATTGAAAGCCACACATATAGTTAAATTAGACAAGCCACGTCCATGATCAGTCCAGGCAGCTTGTGTGCATGCACATATTTTAACATCATATCTCTGTCTAGAAACTACATGAATACTGACCATTTTACTGCATGGCCATTCCATGAAGACCCTACTAAAAGCTTGGCATGCTGCGATTCCTTATCTACACAATGTACTCTACAGCAAGCAAGCAATGACAACAGCAATGGAAACTGTGTTCACCATCCATAAGCGACAGAGAATGATGCATCGTGCCTTTTTGTCAGATCAGATGCTGGTTTTATGTTTGACACATCACACTGTTGTTTGACCTTAAGATACCTGGATAAACTCTTTCATGACATGTAGAAAACACTGGAGATGTACATGACTCCTCTTCCCAACCCTGGTCCTGGAGGCACACCAGCATCCACAAATTAGCGTTTTCCCAGCTTTGAAGTTGACATGAAACACCCTAATTCTGACTAATTTTGTACAGAAAGCTGAAGCATGTTGGAATTTATTTCTAGTACAATTTAGTTTGGAAGCTAGTAGCCCTGCTAGTTAGTTAGCAGCCTCGCAATAATGCCAGCTCAGCGGGCAGATAAGACGGTGGGGTCACATACCGTGGATAATAATAATAATAATAATAAAAATAATAATAATAATAATAATAATAAACATCGGTGAAATTTCTAGCTTCAATCACAATCTCTGAAGCTAGATTACAAAGTATAAGACTGGAAAGCTTTAGTTGAAGGTGCCATAATATTACAGACTTTGTTTTGAGAGAAAAGCAGCTTTCTTGTTAATGGTGTATATCTTAATTCCTGTTACATGACAACAAAAGAGAGACAGCATGGCTACTTTTTCAGTCTGTTCAGGTTAACTGCATAGTTTCCCTTTTGGGCCAGAGGACAAACTATGCATGAGGAACAGGATCCCTATGCCAGCTCCTGTGGTGACCTCCATCAGGACCGTTTTCCCATCACCAGAATACCATGATGTTTGGAATTTTTATATATATATATATATATATATATATATATATATATATATATATATATATATATATATATATAATAATTTGCATTTAATAAACTTTAAAGATCTGTGCAGATTGTTTGATTCAAATTCCTTTCATTTTTGTAGTATCTGTTATCTTTTTCAGTGTGTTACCTGGGGCAGTGAAGGTGCCTCTATTTTGAGCTGTTGCAGGGCCTTATGGATGGACACAGACTTGCACCTGCAGATCAC